GAGCAGATTGCATATGGCTTTGTAAGTGAGTAGCCTATAATCATAACAATTATAATCGAGTTTATTTTTGTAGAACCAGTTCCAGGTCAACAATGACCTCAGAATTATATTTCATACGAAACTCGTACAGCGTTTCATGATTTTTAGCGCGTTCTCAAATAGTTGAAATTATATCGCATATTAATGGTGGCTTCCTTTGTAAATGAAAGCAGACCGAGACCGACGAACATTTTATAAGAGTTGTGGCTATTGAGTACAAATAATATGGTCACTACTCGATATTTCATAAATAATCTCTTCCCCATAATGTCAAATGATCGAGGATTCGCCTTAATCGCCATAATAGTCTATTCATTGCATTATTAAGGCATTATTTATTCGTGATAATTTCAAAGACGACGATGATAAAGCATAATGTAGTTTTGAAATAATTTTATCATCGTAATTTTCATCTTTTTAATCTACGAAATCGGCATTGCATAAGTTCCTTTAGCGACGAATGAACCGACATTGATTTTACATAGCATTTATGTTATACAAACAGTCGCTTAGCATAGAAAGCATAAGCTATGAAATTTGTTTTCTTCGAATCATTAAGACAGCGACATCTCACGTAGGATTGCGTTATATGTCGTTAGTTTTTTTTTTAATAATAAGACTTTTGACAATCAAAGAACACATTTTTTACGATTACATTAACGTTTCTCCAATGAAATAGTTCAAGTTAAAGTATCGAGTAAAATTATTAAAAAGTCTTGGGTAAAGATTGTTTGTTTATATTTGTCAATTCACCAAGTTGATAATAACCGTGGCAATCCGATACTTTAAAAGTGCTTAAATAAATTTCATATGAATCCGAAGAATATAATATTATTTATTACGCGATTAGTTCTTATAAAATTTAATCCTTAAGTTTAAATTAAATAAGCTTAACTTATCTGAAATATTTTCGCTGCTTTGTATATAAATTTGACAATCTAAAACAATGCTAATAATGACAATGCTTTCACTTATATACGATGAATTAATTATGTCGTAGTTTTTAATTGATTGTCCAATTTGTTTATTTATCATTATTGTACCTGTCAAGAATTTGCCAATTAAAAGGCAAATACCTTCTATTAAATTTAAAAAAACTGCGTTTCATATACTCTTCCATTGTGTGCTACGTGACGTAAGAACAACAACAATAAATCTATAATCAGTTTATATTAGTTGATCTATAATTGGTTCAAAGTACATAATATCTTGATTTTTGCTCAATCTTTAAAGCTAGTAAAGTGTAAAATATGGATGGTTTGAAAAATTTAAATCTACGAATTTCCATTATACAATTATTAATTAGTTTTAGTCGTATAAAGTGGTATATGTACTCAAAATAAATAAATCAATAAGATTAAACAATGTTTTACATATTGGTATATTAATATTTATAAAAATAAATCAAAAATAAGTATTTTCGTTAAGTATACATCATTTTGGAATACAAAATATACATAAAGTACACGCTTGAGTTCGTAAATGCTATGGTCCAAAGAGTAAACAATAATAAAATATTTATTTCAAGAATACAAAGACAATCCGACATATTATATCATTATTATGAAGAATTTTTGGGAATGAAGTCGAATTTCGCTTTTTTCCATAAATTTCTTAATAATAACGTGACAGTCATATCGTGACTTTAAACTGTATTTTAAACTGAATTCGACCCAATCCAAAAATATCTCTTTCATTTATCTCTCGCATGACATTAGAAATATTCCGAAATTATATGTAATTTTACACCCTTGAAAACTACGCGGTGTTTAACGTGTTTTAATACGAACTTAAAGTGTACCAAGAATACAAAAATTAGAAGAGCATACTTGTAAAAAAAATTAAAAAAAAATGCATATATACATATATATTTTACTTATTATTATAATATCATTGATTATGAATTCGTAATGTGTGCATTCATACGGTCACTTTATAAACTTACTACAAGGAATTTTTACACATCGGCAATTCCCGTACTCTTAAGCTTATTTTATCAGCTTTTTGAACACAATGCTTAAGTGGCAGCAGCAAGTTTAGCTTTAGAGGCGGAAACATTCGTGCCAAATGCACGTAACATCTTGTCTTAATCAGACTTTTAAAATCAAGTTTTTTTAATAACTTTCAAAATAGTTATCCTACAGCAATTACACAGCCGGCACGTAATCTCTTTAGCTCTCTCGTGTTAACCGCTTCTCTAATCACTGCTCCTCGGCAAACATAATCATTGTCTCCACAAACATTTACCGTACGCCTGCTCAACAGTACGCAAATCTGCAATAAAAAAAAAATAAAAAAAAAAAAAATAAAAAGAAAAAGAACGACGCGTCTAATTGAGACGCGAAATAAACAGGACGTAATTAATAACCGCTTTCGCATTTCTATAATTACAAAGTTTATCATTCGCCCGGTGGACGAGGAGGGCCGAACAATAACTCGCCGAGTGAGTCGCGAGGCCCGGCTTACGGACGAGCGTCTCCTTCTCCTCTCACCCCCGCGGCAAAGTTGATTAGCCTCGTTCGCGCGAGCCTTGGCTATTTGGACGCGAGGCGTCCGCGTATTATTCGCGCGTCGACGGCTAACGCGGTTTGCCACTTAGTTCGGGCGAGCGCCGCGCGGCAATGGCGCCATTACGCAACCTTCGCTCGGGCGGCATCAGATTTGTTGGGCCGCGAGCGAGAAAGTACGGGTTCTTATCGACGAGGCCCGTGTACTTCTTGCCGTAATCGGCCTCGTTATTGAAAGGAACCGGAGCGGAGGTTGCGCTTGCTCTCCGGAAGGCGGACCCTCGAACGGCGAAAGAGAAAGAGAGATAGAAATCGATAGGACATGGTGCGGTGAAAGTTCGAGCCCTGTGTTTCGGAGGCGAGCTTCCGTAGTTTGATGGACTAGTTGAGATTTAAGTTGGTTAGGAGGCAAAGAAAGCTGCCGATAATGAGCAAATCATAAGATCCTGCTGCTTCTACTATTGCAATAATTTTCAAACGCCCAAGTTCAATTTTATCGCTTCGTCTTTCCGTATTTTCACGGGCAAGCGTCGCTTATGCGATGGTTAATGGATTATTTATTATTTAAACGTTCTGGAGATTAGTAAATTTTATCGCGTTAAATGGCATTTGAGCTACTTGATTAGATGACAGTGGAACAAGTAACGGCTTCCTAAAACTATTAAAATAAATTATTAAGATTCGGTTTTCCACGTTCAATATACTATCTGTTATTGTTCTTTCAGGACGCAAAATAAATGGGATAGAAAGTAATTAATCAATGAATATATTTCATAAAGTACATAATTAATGTCCTATTGTATAAGTTTCTAAAATTGAAATTGATCGTTTGGATTCATCGTGGCATAAATTGATCAATCCATCCGAAAATAAATGACATTGGACTCGATTTCAATTTAACTCGATCGATATTATCGATTGTTTTATCCATTCTACCGAATAACACTTATAAATATAGATAATTTGCAGGATATTATACTATAAACGGTCGTCAACAAAAGGATTTTAACTGAAATCTTAACTTCCACTCACCCTTACATTAATCATGTACAATCCATACGAATTCATAAATATTACTTTGATAGACAAATATTCTTATTGATCTTAAAACATTTATTTAGATTTTAGAAATAATAAAATGTATATAAAACTTGTTGTAAAAATACATAAATAAATAGCAAATAAATAAATGTATACACGCACGCATATTAATCAATTTGACAAAAATTTAAATAATTTTATTATTTGTTGAATATAAATTAATTAATTCATATAATTATATTCGTTAATATAATATACATAATTAAATTTACGATATTTATCGCTACGATTGAAAATTAATTTTATTTAATAATATTAATTATACAAATATTTTATGGATAAACATATTTTTAATTAAATGAACGTATGTCAAATTTTGAATATACTTTTGAATGAAATTTAAGATATTTTCACTATGAAATTCTTGTATATTATAGTAAATTTTTGTTTTTCCAGATATTTTAATAAATAGAGCATACACCTTATAACAATATTTTTTTTTTTCTAATTATATAATAAATTATCATTATAATGAACCGTTAAATATACGTATTATATTTCACTGTTCGTTATTCGATTTTATGAATTTTAAACAATTAATTATATTTGGATAGAATGCAACATAAAAAATGTTTAATGGTCATTCTAAAGTTTATGGCTGATGTCTACTAGTAATTTATGTATAGTTAACTGGGCCTGAAGAATTTTTTCTTTTACCGAACATGCTATTTATCGAAAAATTTACTGAAATTTTTATACTGCATGTTATAGATTATTTTTTTGTTGCGATTAAGCGTTTTTCTTCATCATAATTTCTTTATTTATAGGCATACGTCGATACTGTCGATTGGTTAATAAATCTTAATTAATTTAACAATTCAATGCCTGTCAATATTTAAATTTTTTGAAGAAAAACCAATATTAAGTTTTACAATTTTATATTCCATAGTTATTTACAGTGCAATATTGAGCGAAAATATTTTTAGTATTGACATTTTTAAAATTAATTTTACCGTGATAAGTCACATTTTCATAGAAACTGCTACAAAATGACAAAATTTTCACGACAATCAAAGTTTTAAATCGTCGACAAGCAGTCTTGAGAAAGCGATTATGAAAATTAAAGTCAACGATATAACTACACGTGACAAAAAATTTTATTATAATACGATCTCAACGTATATTCAACCTTCACTTTACCTACATAAGCCGTAGCATATCAATATGAAATAGGAAATTTTATGCGCCTATGATGAAAATACTCAAGCTTTCACCGAAGGTTCTATTTCCCAATCACTGCACTGGCTTTTTTCACGCCAAAGATCTACACACCCTTGAATCAGTTTGCAAATTATCAGTTTTATAGATCTCAGTGGACTTGTTTAATGCCGTAGGATGATGAGGCGAACGAGGATGCCACCGCGGTGGCCACTGCTCCTCGTATTGGCCAGTTGCTGGTATGTCCCCACGAGCAGTCAAGTGATAAACCGGGCGCCCCACTTCGTCCACGGCGGGGACATGGCTCGGCTAGCCGTGTCCGAGGGGACGCCACCCGGGGCGCCAGTCTACACTCTCCAGGCCGAGGATCCCGAGGGCTCGAGGCTCCACTACTCCATCAGCGGCGAGCACTTCACGGTAGACCGCGAGACCGGCGTCGTCGTCCTCAGGCGGCCCCTGGATCGCGAGGCCCAGGACCTCATCGAGGTCATCATTAGCATAACCGGTACGTGCGCTCTCCTCACGCCCACGCGCGCGTGATCGACCGTCGCGCGGCACTAGAGCCATTCACTGGGCGAATCCTTCGATTTTTCTTACGAGCGGCTCCACGCTCATCCTTCGCGCTCTCTGCATTTCGAATTGCCGCAGCCGCCTGTAATGTCTCGTTACCCGTCCGCCAGCAGTCTTTATATTTTCTCGAGATTAGAAAAAGGATGCAACGGCTATTTGCGTTCGATCGATGATGCAAGATGACGGCGCGGGCTGATGTTGACAAGACAATAGATCGAATCGAAGTTGTTAAAAGCGGTGGGCTTGCTTTGTTCGACCTTCACTTTCAAAATTCAAACGATTATATAATTTAGCAAAGTTGCCATTAATTATAAATTTAGATTATTTCAAATTTGGGAAATTCGTGCACTTTTATGTTAAGTTGATAATAAATTATTGCACCGAAGGGATTAGCGTAGATGAAAGTCGCAAAGACGTTCAAACTCAAATAAGTATGATTTAACAAGGGAATTTGATAAACGAATGCTTGCACGCACTTTACTTCGATCTAAGCCACATTGCAATTCAATTCCTTCTTCCTAATAAGTAATGTAAAAGAAAAATTAGACAAAGACAATTTTAAGAGAAAGTTGTCTTCTACTCGTTCGGTCAATTTTCAAACGCGCTCAACACCGAAATCATTCTTTCTGGTTATAATAATAATAAACGCAATTATGTCCATTACGGCAAAATGTGCATTTTATCTATCGATTGAAATCCGTTGCAGTCGGGGCCTCCTTAATAAAGTGGCCAAATTACCGAGTCTCGGGCGCTCTTGTAAATCAACGAATGACAAATCGTGAATGACGCCATTGCAGAACGAGCCTTTTTGCCGGGAAATAATATACATTATTTCCGCGTTCGTTGTTAATCGTAAATCTGATAGCGGGACGAATCAAGCGAGAGACGGAAAAGAGAAGCTGCGAGTAGCGAGATCGAGTGCTCTCGATGATCCAATAATATCCAGCATGGGGGATCGAGCTCGCGAGGTCGGCCGGCCGAGTCCCTTTAATTCCCCTAAGCCGCGACCACGACATACCTGCAGCAGTCTGTCACCTTCCATTTATCGCAGACGAGGGCATAGCGGGCTCCGAGCCAAATACAGTCTCGCTGCGCCGCGAGATAGCGGTCCTCGACGAGAACGACAACGGCCCGGTCTACCATGGCAGGCCATACGCGGCTCGGGTGCCGGAGAGCGCCCGGGTCGGCGGACTCCTACTGGCGCCCGGGACGATCACGGTCACCGACCGCGACGGGGGCGTTAACGCCGACGTGGTGGCGAGCTGCGTACCCGCGAGTCGGGACGACGACGCATGCCGCGTCTTTGCCGTATCCACCTTGAAGGTAAGTGTGCGTCAGTCGATGCTAGTGAGCCGAAGTTTCGAGATAATAATCATTAGCCACGACTATTCGTTGATGATTGAGCAGAATTGTAGACTCGAACGTCATCTTAGACGATTTAAATGTAGCCCTCCGATGTAACAAGGCAGCACTGCTCATCGCTTTACGCAATTACTTTATTTAATTCGCAGGATTGTTTTTTTTTTGTGTCGAGTTAAGGGATGTCGAGTGCACGACGTCCCGCTATTAATAATTCGGTGTATTTAACAAGTGTGTATAGGTGATATGTAATATAATACCGGAGAGTCGGCTCAATTACGATCGTTAATATTCAATTATTTGCTAAACAGAGTCTACTTTTTTTAGATTATAAAAAGACAATTTTGTTATAAATTAAATCAGTTTCTTTTTCGGTAGTCTACACGTATTGTTACTGCGTATTGTTGTCGCTCGGATAAAGTAAGAATTTATGTGCACCCGCATGCGAACAGGATACTCGTGATAAAAAAAAATTTGAATGACGGCTGAGTTATGAAATTCGATAGTGCCACGAAAATTGTTAGAATGAGATAAAAATTCTTAAAAATCAAATGGCTAAGAGAGGAATTTTAAAATTCTTTATCTTTATCTTTAATGAAAGTCTTTGGTTTATTTATCTACTCGCGCTACCTTTATTCGCAGATATAAAAGATTCTTTAAATTCATCTCTACCCCTTGTCGAAGGTATAGATTTTCAAAAGTAATAATTATGCGGATGTAAGCTGTAAATATTATAAATATTGCTATTAGTCGCTCTAAGCTCTCAGCATTAAAAATCAAACTTCCTTGGAGGAAAGCGAAAATGCCGTCCTGGATACAATGGCAATATCAGCTTTCTTTCCTAAAATACCAACGCAAGGAATTTAGCGTTCGTTTGATTACGAGCAATATTTTTGTTGTTGTTGTGTTTGTTTTTGTTTTCAGTTAGCGGAAGGAAAGTACGACGTGCAAATCACGTTAACGGAAGCACTTGATTATGAAAGAAGAAACTCGTATCTCATTAATTTAGTTGCTATCGACGGAGCCAGTGATCCGCTGAAAAGGTTGCAAGCGAAAGCAACGATTGCGGTTGACGTGTTGGATGTGCAGGTACAGACAGTCTTTAAAATAATTTCGAGCTATGTTCTCAATAATATGCATGTAATTAATAAAAAATACTTAATGCGTATATGTAACTGGTAAGGTAAAATGCTTTCGTTAACATTGTTTACGTTACAGGATAATTCGTAATCGTTACTTTCAAATTAACGAGCACTCTTATAGTCTTGTATATAATGACTTGTAAAAGACTATTCGCTCAAAATTACCGTCAATTCTCTCTATTAGAAAGTCTCTAATATATATGTAATGAATATTACCTTTATCAAAAATTAATACAATTTAGAAGAAAACAAATGAAAAACAATTATTTCCATACCCATTATACTAAACTGGCCGTATTTATTATTTATTGTCTATATAACATATTTATTTAAAAATTATAGTTTTATTATTTGATAATTACGTTTATCAAATATATGAATTGTAATCTTACATAAATTTAACTTTATATGAATTGTGGTGTTGTGTTAAGCAACGCTAGTTTGTTGAGAGGTTTTGATTGAAAGACGGTTGAAATTAAAATTTATTTGAGAGACTCGGAGTGACAACTTGGAGAATCTCACAGTCGAATATTTTGTATTTTCAAGAATTATTAAAGTCAAATAATGCCGATTAGCTCAGACAATCATAATCGTTTTGTCCATCTATTCACATCAATATTGGTAATATAAATAATTTACATTACTGCATGTGCAATTATACGCGTCATTAAGAATTAATAATTTTATGCCTACTAATTCATATTAGTTAATGAATTTTAACGAAAAGTAACGTAGATTGTCCTAACGAAAGGTTATAGCGAAAATTGTTGTAAAGTTATAGGTTGACATTTCATTTTTTAGCTTTAGTATCGCGAGGTAGCCAAAACATTTTACCGCACATTCCTTCGAATGTGTTTCATTGAATTTCATTGAATAAATGTTGCATTCTTTATAGCAATCGCTGTAATAAGTAGCATGAATAATGAAAATCTACGAGCCAGTCTTAATCATTGAACAGAAAGTGCCAGCGGAAGTTTTTAAAATACTTTGAAATCCTGTTTGCAGGATCAGCCGCCGAGTTTTATAAATGCGCCGTACAGTGCGGCTCTTCCAGAAAACAGCGTCGCGGGTGTTACGATCCTTAGTATCCGAGCGCGCGACGGCGACACCGGCGAATCCAGATCGTTGCTGCTCAGCCTCGAGCAGGACGACCGGGGTCACTTCCGACTGGAGGTTAACCACGAGGGCGACCTCACAATCGGTCACCTCATCACCACCAACGTGTCCCTCGACCGCGAGGACCCGAGTATTCTGCAGAACGGGAGCATTTACAATTTTGAGGTGAGAGCGACGGAGCTAATTAACAACGAGATTCCAGCGGACACGACCACCTCCACCGTCACCATCGTCGTGACGGACGTCGATGACATGACGCCAAAATTCAACGACGACTTCTTTCATCTGAAGATATCGGAGAACATCGGCACCGATACACCCCTGCCTGGTGCGTAATCACCCTCCACTCACTCAGCTTGCGTATTTTATCGTGTAAGGAGAGGGTTTTTCGTGCGAGCCGGATGCGTAATTTCATGGATAATGGTACGCACTGTCGCGTTGAAAAAAAAAAAACAAACAAAATATTACATCCACGCACTGCCTTAACGCTCTTAAACTCCAACTATTATTGATATTATTGTTAACTTATCCTACGCAACATTAAGTTGCCACGGCCCCTATTTATTAATAAATCTCTTAATAGAGTATGTATCAAGGCTCATTGTAGTATCGATAGTTGTTGATTGCGAGGCGAATTGGAGTAAGGAATTTTTGTCACAGGTTTGAATATGTTTGTGATCGACGAGGATGTCGGTGAAAACGCAAGGTACAAGTTAGCATTGCGAGACGCGCCCAATTATCCCGGTATAAGTGCAGCTTTTGCCATCAGTCCGGTAATTGGCCAAGGCCGAGTTCCAATAGTCATTAGATCCAAAGATCCAAATGTTTTGGATTACGATATACCTGGCAATAGAAATCTCGAGTTCGAAGTTACAGCTTTGGTTAAGGAAGAGATTGTGAGTATTCATTGCCCATAAAGTAAATAATTATTTTATTATGATTTTTATTTGCTATTCAAACCTTCAATATTTTTGTTTGGTTTTGTTTTGCTTTTATTTCTTTTTTTTTGTTGTTTTTTTTTTGTTTTTGTTTTTTTTTTTGTTTTTTGTTTTTGTTTGATTCATTCTGAATTATAATAAAAGTGTACAATTCGATTATTATAATACCGTTTGGTTATTATGTATAGATGAAGCGTACGTTGACTCGTATTTTACAATTGAATGTGCTAGATTGCTCTTATGATCTGGCTTAAATAACAACAATCAACAACAATCGTTAATTAATTAAACAGCTGAAAGAAATATTTTCCATTGCGTGAGAAGCAGGAGTAAGGAATTGTAAATTTATAATTTCCTTTCAACAGTCTTCTCAACTAATTAAATCCCAAATTAACGAATGTCATATTATGTGAATGCTTATATTACAGTGAATTATGTAACTCAATGACTATTTCTAATAAGATAATGGAGCAACCGAATGAAAAATGTTTCATCAACTTATATAAGCTAACGAACGGCTTTATTTTCTTATCTAATTACAATGCTCTGATTAGCATCGATGCCTATTACTTTCAGGTTGCTGTTTCCACGGTGCGCGTGGATTTAATCGATGCAAACGATCACAGTCCGGAGTTTTCCCAGACTCTCTACAAACTCTTCGTGCTCGAGACCGCGGATATCGGACTGAAATTCGGGGATGTGCAAGCGACCGACGCGGACAGTGGCTCCTACGGGGAATTGACCTATAACTTGCGCGGCTTTGGCGCCGAAAAATTCCGCACCGACGCCAAGAGTGGCGGAATTTCCGTTATCAAGCCACTGGACTATGAGATGCAAAAGTCGTACTCGTTAACGATGGAGGCAAAGGACGGAGGCGGCAGGATCACCACGGTCAACGTGCTCGTCGAGCTCGAGGACGTCAATGACAACGAGCCGATTTTCGAGCAGCAAGAATACTCGAGAATAGTCAGGGAGGGCGCGACGAGTTTCGATCCTCAAATGTTCGTCAAGGCTACGGACGCCGATGGACCGCAGCAGGGCGACGGCAAGATCAGCTACTCCATTATAAGTCACAATAGCATGAACGACAACGTGTTTAAGGTGAGTCTAATGTTGATGCGATCTCTCGTTGAAAAATCTTTTAGTCAAGAATTATTCTTTAACGTAGACGCCAAATGTTTTATCACGGGCCTGTAAATGACAAAGCTCGTTATGGTATATTCGGCCATTAATCAATAGCGCATTAGGTTGATAAACTATTGAATTGTACCGCTAGCTGTGCTGTGTATCAACACTCAACGTTATAACATTGTAACCGTATCTCCATCGATATAAATGGGCATTATAAATTTGCTATCGAGTATACTATTAAAAGAAATTACTATCTAAAATTGACATTTTAGCGTACGAATTATGTAAAAGTAAATTAAAGTCCATCATATTACTTGGTATTATCTAGCTGCACAAACATTATTTTAATATTTGCGAATATTTTAAGTGAATATAAAATACACCCTAGACGATGACTTTACGACTTTTATTTAGATTCTTGAAAATAGCCATTAAAACGGTAGTTTATCATTCGTCCCTAATCGGCTCTACCGATAAATATTTAAATCTACTCGAGAATGTCGAATATTTATTTCCTCGTTCTAGTAGCCTTAAAATATGCACATGTAATACAAATCCTATAGACGAGTCTGAACATTTTAGATAAACGCTGAAACGGGCGAAGTGAGCATTATAAGTCCAGTGCGCTCCAGTGACACGGAACGGGGCATTTACGAGCTGAGTATCCGCGCGACGGATTACGGCTCACCGGCCAAGTACACCGAGGCGAAGATCTACGTGCGCGTCGGCGTACCTGGTAATCAAAAGCCCATCTTCCGAGGCAATTTCAAATCGAGTCTTCCCGGTCCGAGCTCCTACAGGACGAGAATCTTCGAGAATGCGCCAGCCGGTACCGAGGTCATACGCGTCATGGCCAATGACCCGGACGGGAGGGACAATTTGTTACAATATCAGATAAGATCGGGCGCTAAGGATAATTTTGTCATCAACTCGAGCTCTGGATTGATAAGCGTTTCACCCGATGCCCGATTGGATTTAGAGGCCGGCGGAGACAAGTACGAGGTCATCGTGTACGCGATCGACTCAGGAACACCGATAAGGGAAACTGCAACGACCACTGTCTCCGTCACCATTATCGACGTGAATAATAAGCCTCCGGTCTTCATCGACTCAACGCACCTCATTTACGTCTCGGAGAGAGCTGCCATTGGTAAATCCAGTATTCTTATCACCCATGTATCCTTAACCATCTTTTTATCCTATTATTCCGATATCGATACTATCGTCTTCTCGTGCTATATATATATATATATATATATATATATATATATATATATATATAAAGATAATTATTATAAATGAGGCTGAGGTGTAATTATTTATTTCCTTGCAGGTGAGATGGTTTTAAAATTAACGGCAACGGATCCAGATTCGGATGCGGAAATCGAGTATTCCATCGTCGAACCCATTAAAGCAGTGGACAAAACTGGCGTCGCTCTTAAGAGTGGCATTTACGATTACAAAACAGCCTTCCGCATCAATAGAACAACCGGTGCCATATCCGTAAACCAGGCACTCGATTATCAAACAGCCGCTGTCATAATACTGACAGTCGAGGCGCAAGACGTAAATGCCGTCGTTAACAAGGATAAGCAATTTGCGAGAGCTGACGTAACTGTGTATGTACAAGCATACAGTGACGACAATCCGACTTTCACCAACATTGGCTGGTCAGTGAATAATCCAACGATTCGAGTGACCATGCCAGAGGAGCAGCCCTTAGGTACGACTCTCTTAATGCTTACGGCTAAGGAGCCACAGACAGGATATCCCGTGCAGAGGTTTGAACTCGTTCGGGCTGAGGATGATAAGGGCTACGTTAACGTTGGTGTGCAGAGTGGTAACGTCGTGTTAAACAAGAGACTGGATTATGAATCTTTGGAAGAGAAGGTACGTGTCTCGTTGAAGAGATTTTTGGAAATTTAATACCAAGTTGCGTTACTCGATAAAATTTCTCTGTAGAAGAGGCCAGCATGTTTATCACAGAGATTATTTTATAAAGGGAATAGTTCGTCTGGGATATAGAACAATTTTTATCTTGTCTAACGGTACCCTTCGAATAAAATCGATCGATCATTCGTGTAATTTTAAAATTATAAAGAATTGATGAGACAGTTTGAGAGCGACAAATGTATTGTATTCTAATTTACATTTCACGCATTGTTAACTAAAATTACTTGTTTTTATTGTTTTCAGACAATTCGCTTTAAAGTGAGGGCCTTGACGAGAGATTATGAAATTACTCGACGGATGTCAGAGGCAAATGTGATCGTCAGCATTCAAGATATAAACGATAATAGCCCAGTTTTTACGGAAAAAGATTACAAGATTTCCGTATTGGAGTCAGACAAGTTTCCAAAAGTAATACTAACCGTAAAAGCCATGGATCTCGATAGTGCCAATTCGGAGATAGAAATTAAAAGAGGATACGGAATCATTAGGTACTCATTGACCGGAGAAAATGCCAATTTATTTGAAATCGATTCGATTACTGGCAGCATTCGAGTAAGTAATTATCATCTAATATAAGTGTATTTGTATTGTATTTGTTCATTTCTCTCAAGTCCCATTGAACTCAAGTAATTTAATAGATCTTTAACAATATGCTATTTTACATACGACATCGTTACTTTCATTTTCAAATAGATCGCAAACAATACAATCTTAAATCGAGAGAGACAGTCGACCCTTCGATTATACGCGGTTGCGTCTGACGTGCCCGAAGGAGGAGCAGAGCAGATATCCACAAGGGCATTGGTAGTAATCGATGTTCTTGATGTCAATGATAATGCCCCGATCTTTCCACGAGAAAGTTATACTGCAGTTATACCGGAAAATGCACCAACCGGCATCAGTGTAGTGAATATAACGGCAAGTGATTTGGATGAAGGTGCCGGGGGGCAAATTCACTTTGAAATTATCGACGAGAGCGAAGCAAATGGTACGCTATGCTATCCGTTAGGACGTTGGGCTTTAAAAATTAAACAATAAATATATATTAATTCGTTTGCGTATTTTCAGTAGAAAATATCATACTTTAATTGTAATTATACAACCGAGGGATTTTTTTTTCTTCGTTACGGCTATTCGTACTTTTTACGGATAATAATTCAATTATTATATCATAAGGATTAAATTATTATCGATTACAACAGCATCACACATATGATTTTCTTTTAACTTGCACTTGATATTTTAAAAATATTTTTACTTTGTACAATATATTCGTAATATCAACAAAAAACAAATTAACTAATTTAAAATTAAGAGTTCTAATTTAAGTTGAGAGAATAAAGTAACTGCAACAACAAAAACAACTTAATAATATGAAAATTCACATATATATATATTTATAAATTTCAGGCCTATTCAAAATAAATCATACAACTGGCGAAATAATCTCGAATCGGGAATTGACGGGAAAGGGAAGAACGGAGCCATATTACATGCGCATTCGCGCCCAAGATTCTGGTGATCCTGTCTTATTTTCCGACGTCATTCTCACATTGTACATCGGCGACGTAGTCAGCAACGACGGGGTCCCACTTTTCATTAGGCCTACTCTCGACGAGATTGCATACGTCGCTGAAAACTCCACCATCGGCAGCCCCGTCTTTCAAGTCGTGGCATCCGATCCCGACGACCCCAATCTCCCTAATGGCAAGATAACTTTCAAATTCTTGGAGGACGGTAACTTTGGCAGCGATGCCAGCGCTTTTAATATCAATGACCTGACTGGCCTCATTACCACGAGGCATTTGCTCGATCGCGAGACGAAGGATAGTTATACGCTTATTTTAGTGGCTCAAGACCTTGGACAGCCACCCCAACAAACGACGCGCATCCTCCAAGTCAAGATCCTGGACATAGACGATCATAAGCCCCATTTCAAAAGGACTTTCTACAGTCCGCCACTGGAATTCAGCGTGAAAGAGGAAACACCGATTGGTATTAAGATCGGCACCATACAGGCCATCGACGAGGATATCGGAGATAATGGTATGATCGACTATGCCATTACGTACGGCAACGAAGCTGGTCTTTTTGCCGTTGAGCGTTCGAACGATAACGGCGCTGTTATCAAGTCCGTCGAGAGGCTGGATAGGGAGGTGACGGAAAAGCACTTACTAACGGTCAAGTGCTTTAAGTATTCGAGCCGATATTTAGATGCCGTGCCGAAGCCGTATAATCGTCAAGATCCAACGGAACGGCAGGTCCTCGTAAGGATTGTCGACATCGATGATAATCGGCCACGATTCAAGAAAGATAACTTTACGATTGGGGTGCGACTAAATGTGCCCATCGACACGAGCTTGATAACGCTGGAAGCTCGAGACGCCGATTCGGATGCTCTGCCGATCGATTATATCATGGGCCAAGCATCGTTTATATCCCTCGTTGATCAGTCGATGTCGAAGAGCTCGGTACCGCCGCCTTTGGCCTTAAATTTACGAAGTGGCGAGATACGAACGACTGGCTCACTCGCGAACTATGCCGACGGTTACATGGAAATTCCCATTTCGGCCAATAATTCCGCTCTGCCTGGGCGTGAAACGAACGTTACTCTGCGAATATTTTTATTGCGAGATCGAGACATGCTGAAGTTCGTGTTCTCGAAGCCGCCGGTCGAGGTGCGGAGGAAACTCGAGGATTTCGAGAAAGCTGTGCAGCATGCCTTGCTGCTACCGATATCCGTCAACGTTTACGACACGCAGTTCTACTCGAAGGAGGACAACTCGTTGGACTTCTCGTCGACCAGTTCCTGCTTCCAGATGGTCGGCAAAGAGTCCTATAGTTTAAACGAGATGAAGGCTCTATTAACCGACTCGAAAAACGACGAGCTCAAGAAAGTTTACAAGACCTTTCATGTTGAGAAAGTGCAGAATTGCGCGGCTACCGTTGCACGAGCTGATGCTTCTGCGACCCAGATGTGGGTGTTGGTTATTGCAACGTTAATTGGCGTAGCCACAATAACTTCTAGCTTCACAATATGCTGCCTGCACTCCAAGTAAGTGCAATTGATAATTAATATTTTAATACGAGAACGGCGGTCTTGCATTGTTTCTCGGGCCAATCAATGCCACGTATCAGTCACTGATTATAAAGCGGTGTATTATCTTATTTGAATGCCAACTAGCGGGGCCTTTCACTTCTTTTAACTGGAGATGCAATTTAACGGACTAACGATACAGCACATTCAATTATTTACGCTGTAATTTTATTTGATTGTCGCTCATTTCAAAGATTTTTTTTTTTATTTTCTTTTTTTTAGAAATTTCAGTTTCTTTCTTCAATGTGTCTTTGAAAATGAATCTTTTACCCCATCTCTCTCTCTCTCTCTCTCTCTCTCTCTCTCTCTCTCGATTTCTATATATATATATATATATATATATATATATATAGATATTCACTCTCATGACTTAGTAAATAATTATAGTGTTAATTTTAATTAACATTCGGAACTACTTTTCATTATTGTCGTACAATATTAATGCAAAATTTTGTAAATAGGTACAAAAAACAAGCTAAACACGCGCGACTACGAGATCAGCCACGGCCAACATTAAGCTACGTTTCCTCTGCTCCCGGAATGATTAGTTCCGGTTCCCACACGACACTGGGACCAAGTACAATGATGTCCATTGGACATCACGAGGGGCCATATGAATGGGGAAATGCTACTTTGTATCATCCGAGCACTCTTTCAAGAACGTAGTTGACTTTCTCCGAGAGAAAATTGAACTAATCACAGGACGCTGGAAACAGTCGTAATTGCTTGATCGGTGTGTTATCAAAAGTGCCAACAACGTAATTAAAGAATGCGTGCCAATTCGTACTGATTTGAGACTGTTAATTGGCCCATTTTCGGTGCTTGTGAGAAAAAGTTACTAAGTGTTTCAAATAGGAACTTGAAATTAATGGAAAATGTATATTTATTGCATGTATAAATAATTAAATTTACGAGAAATGATTAGCGTATTAGGTTGACATCCTTATCATTGTAGTTAAGAAGATGTATTTGTGTATAAAAAAGAGAAAAAAATGAAAACAAAAAAAATGAAGAAAAAAAAAATGAAAAAAATATATCGAAAGTACGAAATAATGTACTACATTTTTAATTTGTGAAATATAGAAAATTTACTATTACACGCAACTTTTTCTGTTTCCTACAAATTCTATTCACCACGTAAACATCATTATTTCTAGTGTTTATTTTTCAGCCAATTTTTATTTGTTTTTATTTATAAATGATTTAACAATAAGTGCACGTGACTTAACAAGATAGACAAACCATTAATATTTAACTATATTTAATCAATTGCAATCAAACTATTCGCGAATCTTTGTAATCCGTCGACAGTATTGATATTTCTGAAAGTCGGAGAATTCTCATTCGTTAAATTTGAGATTTCATTTACAGAATTTTTTACTAATAATGCAGTAGTATTTGAAACATTACAATCGCTTCTGCAACCACGAATTGTCGAAGCTCCAATAATTATATTACTTTTAGGCTTCTGCATTTCTGTTATTGATTGTGCTTCTTGTAACAATGTTTCTTCGTAACGCAACTCCAGGGGTTCTATAATATCTTTATTTTCATATAATTTAGCATTTTCAATAGCCACATTGTCCGTTAATCTCTTAGTTATCATATCTAAAGGAATCATGATCTTCTCGAACGGTCGCTTACCGCCGTCTCTTGGAAATCTTTCTGATCTTTCTATAGCACTGTTTCTGAAATAGATAAGAATTTATTTGTTGGCAAACTGAAAGTAGGCGAGGTAATGATATATGATACGTTCGCTGTCAACAATCAAAAGCAATATACGTGCAATTTAACCAGCAAATAAGCAAACATCGTCCATGTTTTGTTAAAGGCATTTTGATCAATACACATGACGTTAAGTGAGAGAGAAGAAACGCAACTACACACGTGAGCCAATACGCGCGTTCCCAGCCTCTTTTATCTCTTTTCTCTTTTTGGAGATTCTTTAGCCTCGGGCAATGCGCGAATCATTTGGTATGCGCGGCATCTATTACGGCAACATCGGCGCTTCTCTTTTCTCTTTCGAGCAAGATTATTTTTTCTTGATTCATCTGTACTTAATGACATCATCCGATACACTCGAGGACAGCAGCTTATATTTTTCAACTCTAAAGATATTATTGCACCACAGCCTCACTAACACTCCGTCATAACACTCCGTCATAAAAAAAAAAAAAAAAAAAAAAAAAAAAAAAAAAAAAAAAATCAAATAATTAATTGTGCTCTAAAGTGACAATTAATATGACGTTTTCTCGATTTTTTAAATGCTACAAACGAAGAAGCTATAATATCTTTCATAAATTCGTATAAGTATACACGTATTGCAAAAACTTATTCTATTAGTTCTATTAGTGTGCAATACATCTTTACAGTAGTAATTCTATAATTTTCATTTTCAAATGTGAAAGTACATATACTCTTACAGTCCACGATATATTGCTCGTAGCGTTGGTGAAGGTACGAACATCGCAAGAAATGACCAAAGTTCGTAGCCTCGTGTTGAGGTGAATTTTTTTTTCAGTTGAAATATCGTAAAATGCCATTCGTGTAATAACTTTTTTTTGTTACTTTGGTGAAAGGATTCATGGTAAGCGCCCAACGTACGTTAGATGTTCACTGAGTATCGTAAAAATAAAAAGTCATCCGCGACTATCGTAATCAGATTCAATGTCGGTACATATCGTATATACTCTTCCCAAATAAACAAGTCAATTAATCATTATTATTTGTATTTTTAAAATTATTTGTACGTTTACATTCTCGATGTTTTATTATTTTATTAAGGATAAATTCTTTTAAAATTCAAACTATCCATTTGTGTATCCAATTAGGGTTATATCGTTATATTTAAAATTTCATTAAACACTTGTGACTTAATAGTAGCCGGTGGAAACTTATGTTAAATAATGTTACATTATAATTTAATCATGTTAATAATAATAATAATAATAATAATAATAATAATAATAATAATAATAATAATAATGTTATGATTTTAAATTTAAAATACTTGTTAATGTATTTTAATGACATTATTTTTTTAATTATTGATCAAATTTCAAGTAAGCTCAATTTTTCTTTTTCATTAAAGCGTGCTCAATTCGTACGAATTAATTATGTTTAAAAAGTTTTTGTAAGTTTATATCAATAAAAGAAAGTGTTAATATGTCTATGCATATATACATCGTGCCACATTTTTAATAAAGATAGATGAAGTAAATTCAAATTGATAAATCATTATAATAATTTTGATAATTTTGTTTAGATAATTAAAGGCATAATTTTCCAATTTAAACATACTTTAATCGTTATTTTGTGTGAAAAATTTAAGCAACGTGAAAATGATTTATATATATATATATATATATATATATATATATAGATGTATGAATATACTTTATACGTAATTTGAGTTACTATATGTTATTTCATTTATTTTAATGGACATACAAAATTCGACATTCATTTAATATATTTAAAGAGTTACGTGCAGTTGTGCCGTGAGAATGGCAAATTAATTTTTTCAATTTATAGATGGAATGAACAGCGTGGAAAATACAGACCCTCACACGTTGGGTTATTCGACCTTTCAAGATTCGCTTCATGCACATAGACAGTGGCAGTACATTGTAAGGGATACGATAAAATATCTTCTTACATACTGCGAGTAATTTTTTATTATCATTGACAGTACGTAGATGTTTGTAAAAGTGTACTATAAATTACTTGGAGTTTTTTTGACATGTTTCATCGATAAAAATTTGTTCATAAATGCATGTAGAAGCGGCAAATTTCTAATCGAGCACTGATTATAACTTCGATTATTACCGTAATTTATATTGTTAAAATTTATTAATTACTACCAATAGTGAAAACAACTCTTTTTATTTATCGCATTATCGACTGATTGAAAAGATCAAATTGTACGAAAAGGTACACAGCGAATGCTTGATAAAGTGAAAAAAGTTTAAGGATAAATTTAAGTTCGAAATTGCGAAAGTATATGTATTAAGAAAACATGTTGAATGACATTAGTATTAAAAAATTAAAATAAATTTGTTTGAAAGAAAAAAATCTCGTTTAAAAAGGTAATGACGATTATTTAAAAACTATTTTATTAAATCGATTAAAATTCGAAAGAATTATTATTTAATTAATTACATTTCATACTTTGATTCGACAATGATAAACTTTCACTTTCAACTCCCACTGCTTTCAGCAATATTAAAATTATATAAAACTCTTAGTTCAAGGTCTAAAAGAAGCGTGTAAATAAATAAATATTTAATTTTTTTTTAATTTTAAATTATCCTGAAAGTTGTGTAGGTAGCCACGAACTGAAATATTAATACTCACTATAAATTATTTTCTTAAAACTAGAAAACATTCTAAGCAACATTTTTTCATTTTTTTAATAATCCCCATAATGTCATATTTTATAATTCTTGGTTGCACATAACTTCTTAATGAATTTTTAAAATTATTTTCTATAATTATTTATATATATTTTGATATAGAAATTCATATTTTTTGAACGAATGCCGCTCTTATTTATCAGACATATAAAAATTTTAGATAATTTTTCACACTTTAATTATCATTATCAATAGAAAATGCCAATTAATTATCGATTATTTTTATTAAAATATTATTTTAAGCTAAACGTCTTTTTCTCGCATTTATACAAAAATGTTTTTAGTTCAAATCTAGCCATTCAATTTTAATATAAATATTTAATTTTAATTGGAATGAGTATAATAGAATAATAAAAGTTCAACTACCTGGTTGCTTTAATTTTCTTTTTCGGATACAGATTTAAATGTAGAATCATTTGATGTTTTTCCTCGTCTGCCGGTACTCGATGTTGTTCATTTTGCATGGATATTGGATATGACGATTGCGAGTGCGTTCCATGTAATTCTGAATATTTTCCATTGGAAGCGGAATTTTTCGTTTGCTCCATTGTATCAGTAATCGGATAGATATCCAACATTACACTGAATGGCTTCGGTTTTTGTTTTTTTACGTAACTATTGACCGTGTACAAGCCGCTATTATCATATTGTGTTTCATGATAAATGGGCTGCTTGTTTGAAGTTAGCCGATGATGATTAGGGTCGTAATATGGTTTGTACGTATATGTGTCCATTGGTGAAAATCTGCATATTCATATTGAAGAAAATAGTCTTTGTTATTAATAAAGTGAATATTTGTGAATATGTATTTAATGATTAATTCGGTATAAGAGTATTAGGGTAAGCGACAGTGACATTTAAAGAGAGCTGCAACGACGAAAAATGAAATCTGAACGAAAATTGGCATTTCAATATAACTATTTACTAAACTAATAGCAACCTACCGCAAATTTGATGTTGCCAAAAGGTTCACATCTGATGGATATTTTGGTTTATATTTATAAAGAGGATCGGACATGTAAGTAAGACTTCTCTGATCGTTCGTTGCTCCGTCTCTCATTGTGCTTTCACCATAGTCATTCGCATGACCACTATCGATATCGTACTTTTTTGAACCAACATAGTGTCCTGTGAACTTCACGCCTCGATTGAGTGTATTGGACTCACTTGTAAGGTATTTAATGATATCTTGAATATTTCGTGAGGTATGTGGATATCGGTATTGAGTCAATTGAGGATATTTCTGACGTTTTAAGGATGCGGGAGGCGAACCTTTCATTTCGAATTGGAATGGAGTTGCTCGCTGATTATAGTCGTTATTACTTTTTGCTTTATCTTCCTCGGAGTAAGGTAGCTTGCTTCTACTATTAAAAAAAACCATCAACCTTTTTCTTTTATATATAATACATAATTTCAAATATAAAAGATCCTAAAATGATTTCGTTCATGATTTTAGGGTTTCCTTTCAAATGGGTTTTAGACAATGATTTAACAACTATTTCACGAAATATCACAAATATCTATTAATTAAATGTATAAATCATTTTATAAGTTTAATTGTAATTTACAGATTAAACAATCGCGCTTAAAGATAATAATGAAAATTCATTAAATACAGAGACCATAGATTATGAATTTGTGGAATAAACAATCATAGAAATTGTTTTTATACATAGTAGTCACCATAAAATTTTTTAAATAAATTATATAACTTTTTTTTTTTTTTTTTTTTTTTTTTATATCAAATATAATGAAGTTTTTCTTAGATATTAACATTACAATTATCGTTTACGATTAATAAATTATCATCAATTACCAAAGTGTTAAAAGCATTTACTAAAAAGGCTGGTTAAATTTTGTTAAAAAAGCATTTACTTATCCGTTTATGTATAAATAAATGTATATATAAATATAAATGTGATAGCCTAAAAAATAAATTGACTGGAAGAAAAGAGAATTAATGCAGTAAACGATGCAATAACTTTATGAATGATCATTACATTAAAAACATTGCACTAACATAACAATATTTCATGATATAATACCTAACACGATACATCATGGCATGATTGTCGATCGTTCCTTGGTCCTGCTGATTCCTTGACGCCTCGTTTCTATATTGCAACCGATCTAATTTTCCATTGGGGATCTTGATGCTCAGCAAATTCGGTGATCTTGGCTTTAGATCATCGACTGTCAGATTCTCCGAGCGAGACCTCAACGATTCAATGTCCTTATAAACCAAATTATGATCGTCGTCTAAACGATCTTCGAGGATGCTCGCATGACTGCTGTTGACAATGTATATTGTCGGGGCGAGAGTAACACCTGATTTTCTCAATGTACCATTATTTGCTTTTTTTAAGCTATTCTGCAGAATGTAAATGTGCTTCGTTTCCTGGTTAACTTTGCTATTGATCGATGCAGTCGACGCAAAGTCGTATAAAAATATACCAATCTGAAAATTATTTTAGTCTATCTAATAGGATAGTTTGTAATATTTTCGTTGAATACTTTAAAAAAAAAAAAAAAAAAAAAACCGCAATTGATGCTCAAATACTGGCAATGGCTGTTATTACATTCGACTTTTTCATTATAATTCTTAATTATATTTTATTATATTTCTTAATCATGCGTATAGTAAAATTTGGCCAACATGTTTAAATTAAGAAACTAATATGGGCTTTAAGTTTTTGAATTTATCGCTTTAGAAATAATTGCATACATAAATTCATCATAAATTTAGAATATTTTATTTAAGAAAAATATTTTACACATTTACGTATAGTAAAATAATTTACATAAGAAAATTTAAGTACAATTGTTTCAAGTAATATAGGAGTTTTAATAGTAGTTTAGCACGTAAAATTTTCAAGTATTTTGAAAATAAATAAATGCAAATATTGAAAATTTTATTTAAATGTTGCTTTTCTAAATTATATATATTTTTCAGAATGCCAAAGGAATTCTTACAAACGTGATTGGTCAATCTTACTTTCGAGAATTGAAAAACAGATAATTGCAGGTGTTCACACAATTAAGAATAAAAATCTACGGTAATGGTTGTATCGATAAAGTCAAAAAAATGTGATATCTAATTTCATTTACGCAATCGCTTGGCGAATAGATTTCATTGAAGAAATTTTTTAGAATCAATATTCATGAGTGATTAAAATTTTAGTGAATATACTTTTATTACACATTATCATGTCTATTGGCAATTAAAATATTATTAAATTATGAATTTAATTTCAAATCGATATTCACTCATATAGGCTTTTACACAAGCACGTATTCATTGGCCAATGTGTTGATTACAATATTTATGGTTGTAATTTTTTCATTTTTATTGTATTTTTTAATGTAAAGTATTATTAAGTATTGGATAAAAATATTAAGGACTCGATCCGATCTTTTCGTAAAAAACTTCAATGATGATTATACTTAGATTTAATTGATTTACTCACTACTATTTTTATGATAATTTTGAACATGCATAGTGTTTATAAATAGATATTATTATTTCTAAATAATATAAACTTTATGATTTACAACGAACGGGTAATTTAATAAAATCCCATATTAAAATTGTACCTACGATTTTTAACTGAATTTTATATCATATCGAGTCAAAATATCGTTTTTACTTAATTTCTTTCAGTAACACTCCTTGATGTTGAATAGAATTCGTGTTTTTAAATCGAGTATTTAATTAGTTTAATTCATATACGAAGTTTAATATTCTTCTTGTATGATATTGTAGTGTGCCGTGACATCAGCAGGCATTCAATTATTTGAATTATTTGCCGAAATGACAAAATATAACGGAGATGTAATTCATTCGGCGATCGTATTTGCCAGGTAATAAGTGTTAATGTCTGAATTTAATGACAACGATAGCGATAGCGATATGGGTAGAGCAATTGTTTGCACACGTGAGCAAAAATTGGCGTCCAATCTCTCGGTCAACAGTAAGTTTCGCATTCTCTATAGAGATGTGAATATTCTTATGACTGCCAAAGTTTTAGGAAACTTTTCATAATTGCACAAATTTTTTTTTTTCTTTTTTTTTTGGGAAAGTCGCTAAAAACAAGCGGTCTTATTACAACGACATATACTTTTAAATAATAAACATTTATTGTATTGTGCGAAAGAAATAAATTAAGGCAGTCCGTTGTTTAAACAATTTATCGTCAATATCAAAACGAAGAAATCATGTGATAAAACTCATTGATTAATAAATTTTTGGCAATTATGATATAAAATTATATTTATATAATAGCAACAATAATAATGATACTGTTCAGCATTAAAAGCACAGAATGTTAAACGAACGGACTAAATTTATGGAATATTTGTGCTTCTTCGCTATCTACATCTATGTAAATCATCTTTACTCGTTGTATTTTTTTTTTTTAGCGATAGTTTTAAAAGAAATTAATTATAGCCATACTTATGAATTAAGAAAGTATCCGAATAATTTCACAACGTTAATATAAATATTTACGCGGGCTTCCTTAATAATCGACTTTTTTTTCTTTTTTTTTTTTTTTAGTTCATAATAGTTGATTTATTTCATCTTAAAATTAAAGGGACAAAAATATCAAATTTTATAATATTAGCATTGAACATTAAGCGATTATTAAATTAACATATTTTTTAAATATTTAACACATTTACCGTGAAAGCCGAACGTCACCGTAAATGCCAAATTCTAAAGGGTTTAATCGATAATACAAGAGCCCTCCTATCCAAAAGTGTTATTTCGATCGATTGGTTAAAGATAGGATTTATCAGAACGATTAATATCGGCAACCAACACCGCCGCTGAATCACAGAGAAACGTCAATCCTCCTCTCCCACTCCCTCCTCGTTTTAATCGTAGTCGAGATAATTTGCAGAGATGCGGTAAAAACGAGCGGGTGAGCGCTCAATCGAAGCTGCATAAATTAAACAGTTGTTAACCTTAGCCGCGGATCCTTTCTAACGTGTAGACGCGCGCACAAAGGAAAACTGCTGACGCCCCGTGGAACACGAGGAGTATCGTCAGGGAGAGGGAAACGTCGTGCCGCTTGGGCCGTCATGCGCGCGAGCGACGAGCGTGAAAATTCGCCCGACGCTCGATGGTCGAGCGAACGAGTGCGCGGGCGAGCTTTCGCCAATGCTGCATTGTTTTTTTTAACTTTTGTTTTTTTTTGTTTTTTTGTTTTTTTGTTTTTTATTTCAAAGTTCCTAGCGCTTCCATTTACAGCGAGGGCTCTACAGCGACGTACTTTCTCTCTCTCTCTCTCTCTCTCTCTCTCTCTCTCTCTCCCGCTTGATTATCGTGCTTCCGTTTAATGCAAACGAGGCGATCGATCACGCTCCTCGTCACCGTGATGCTTCACTTACCAGTATTACCGACACCACCACCATAATTCCAATAATAAATTTGCGAACAGCGGCCCCGTAGATGCTCCGGCTGTAATTGTCGCTATGATCGGAATATAAGCCAAGCTCGGACGTACTGACAGCTGATCTTCGACCAATGCGGAACATATCCTTCGGGGCTTCCCGTTCCGGAGCGGTGACGACGTTCCGCAATGACGTCTCGCCAATGTTGTTGGTGTTCTTCGCTCGTACCATTGGCACTTTGATAATTACATTATACGATATTCGCCGGCTCGATTATATACTCTTTCGCGTTTGTCATTAACAATGCGTTAATTAAATTATTGAACTATTGTAGCGTGTCAATACATTGTTGCAACGATGATGGCTTTACAATGTATCTTCCAAGACTAAGGAGTTACATTTCTCGCCGAGAGTTTTCACTTGCTATCCCACAATTGTGCGGATTCTAGCAGGTAAAAGATTTTCTTCGTCGGTGAGACGGGGGAGGGTGTGTGTGGGGGAAGGAGAAGCCTGGGAGTTCTGGACTACTTATTGCGGAGCATGTGTAGCAGTATCGGGATGCTTCTTTCTAAAATTACGATGAACATTAAAACCTTCGTAAAATTCACATGCGCAGCCGATTGTCTCGATGACGATATGACAGATAAATTATAGGATGAAGTGCTGTGGTCGGGGCTTTCCTAATTTATTCGTAATAATGGGGCATCCAGTGCACTGGATTTCTTCTTTTAACAATCTTATCAAATTTTTTCTTCCTTATCGTTGAGCAATGACATATTAAACGTATTAATAAGTACAGTTATATTTGCACAAACCCATGTTAATTGTAGTAGAATGTCGTTGACTTCAACCCCCGGATAGGCTCGAATAGAAAATTTTAAATCTTTTTGAAAGATATACGTATCTAAAGTGGTGAGGATGATGGTGGATTTAAACAGTAAATATGATTTTGCCGTGAAATAATGATTGTAAGGAATTGATTTATCGGTCCTCGAATCCAATTCTTTAACTTTGCACAATAATTATATTTTCATAAAGTTTCGTTCAAATAATATAGCTGTACACACGCGCACACGCTAACAGATCATTACTAAAAACATAGCTTACTTACTGTCTCGCTTTTTTCTTAATCAAACTGTTTCTTTTTTTATAATAGAATAATCGCTCGTGTCTGCAGTCAAAGAATATTTTAATTTTTTTTTTTTTTTTTTTTTTTTTTTAAACATTGTAATATATATCTCATATTATTACTAATAATATTAATTAATATTAATTAAATATCAAAAAAAAATACGAGCAGCACTATAATTATAATAGATAATTATTTCTATACTTTTTACTTAAGAATGGATCTATTTTGAATGAAAACTATCAGATAAGGAAGTTTTATAATATGTTGCATTGAGTTTTTTTTTTAATCAAATTGTAACAAATTATAATTTAAATGACATACTTAGACATTTATTCGAATGGATTTCAATAATTATATTAATTCAAAGTAACTCACTGAAATTTAATAATAATAATACTAATTGCGGTGAGATACTTTTTTAAGCTTTGATGACAAATTTTTTTTTACAATCAAAGAAATTAAAATATCTTGTTATAATTAAATTATGAAACTGAACTTCTGTAACCTTATTCTTCATTATGTTTCACAATATGTGATTTTTTTTTTTTTTTTTTTTAATTTTTTGCATCAATGGTGCACTACTAAAATCACAACAACGTAAGTCTTTTTCAAACTTTAATGCATCGATGATTCGTATAATTACAATCATTCCCAATCAATTATTAAATATTATAACGAAATCCAGTTTCTTTAATGATATATTGTATTATCAATTTTTTATTGTATTATTAATGACCTTTTAAATATATATTCATGGTTGGTTTAACAATATCAATAGTTAAAAAAATTCTGATTTTTTACGTGTCATTTTAGTTGAAGTTGTTAATTTTCTATTTAGTATAATCTATTTTATTAAATTACTTTCTTATAAGTGAATATTTTTACGGTGTAAAGAGATTTGGCTTTTTAGAAAACTACAAAGTGTGTTAATAGCTAAATTTTTAATTTGCGTAATTTTCTTAATCATAATCACTCATTAATGTAATTTTTATTATTCATTCAATGTATTATCAAGCAATAATAACTATGTAATTTAGAATAAATTGTTTATCAACAGCCACGTGAGTTTATTTTATAAATTATACAGACAATTTAATAAAGAAATTCAATTTTAAAAGATCAAATCTTTAACGAAGTTTATCTTTGATGAATATAAGTACTAAACTTGTTTAAATTACTAACTATATATCAACACAAATTGCCTGCCAAGAAATTTTTTAATAAACACGTTTGACAATACTTGCAGAATACTATATAAAACATTTGAAATTTCATACTCAAAATATTATAAATATCACAGCTCTACATTATTAACTGTTCTAAACATTCAAATAATCATGTTTTGACAATATTTTAATAACAAATTAACAACTTTCAACACAATTTACTAATAATTAAACGTTTTATCAAATATGCTATATTTGTAATTTTTGTGAGAATTAAAATTTTCTTTGCTAGAAAAATGCTGTTATTCATATATAAAGATACTTATAAATAGAGAGAGAGAGAGAGAGAGAGAGAGAGAGAGAGTTTGGGGGACAGATTTCGATGGATAAATATATTAGACGCTCAAACTATTTGAGCAAATCGAATGAAATATGCGTGACCTTTATTTCACAGACAATCCGTGAAAAATGAAGACAAATTCAATTTTTTTATATCAATCATTTTACTAGAATATTTTTAACGTTAAATAATTAAAAAAATTTATGCATAATTTTTTTGAAACTTATACACATCACTCACTATCCATAATAAAACAATATGATTTTATTTATTTTATTTTGACAATAAATACAAATATTTTTTTAACTATTATTTTCCATTTTCTTTATAAATGCTTCTATTGTATTAATTGTGGTACTATTATTGTTTAAGAATTATGTTATTGTAATATACATTACATATAATAATGTTAATCGGCTTCTTATATCTTAAGATTCTTATAAATTTTTTGTTTTATAATCCAAGAGAAAAGAGAAAGATTTAAAGTATATATGAACGAAAAATTATTCGAATTTGAAAATATTTTTGGTCAATTAGAAAATGAAAAATCCTTCGGTATCTTTTATTTTCAATAATGCAAATGATATTAGATAATCTATGGAAACATATTATAAGCTCGTAAAAATAATATATTGCATAATATATATATTTTTTATGATCAATAATAATTTTATTAATCAATAATAATTTCAATAGATTGTGAAAGGGTTCGAACAATAATTTACAATTTATTCTTAGTAAAAAATATTAATTTTATTTTTCCCAACCTTTACTTAGGTCTCAAACATATTTATAATTTGATCTTTAGCATTCCATCGACATCTACCAAATCGCAATACTCAAAATTGAGTATTTGAGATTCTAACATTCGTACAATATTTTATTCTGTCGATCATTGACTTATAGAGATATCTTTTTTTATTATAAATAAATTTATAATTTTTCACAAAAGATTCTTTGATAACGGAATATCCAGTCATTTATAAAATGTAATGTGATGCATGGTGATTACATGTAATGATTAGCGTTTTCGAAAGAAAAAGGGAATGTCTGGAATTGGATAATTGTATCCTTGTACTGATTTCGTAGTACTTGGTGGGAGAGTCGGAAGTGGAGCAGGACGACCAGTTGGTGGTGGGTACGACGATGTACGTATAGTTGTATAGTATTTTGGCGTCGGAGGAGGTGGAGCTGTAACAGTTACACGAGTTATTCTAGGTGTCGAGGGAGGCAAATACGGAGGTGATTTCGTACTCAATTGATTATTTGTATTTATGTGAGTCAAGGAAGATTCTGTTGGTCTTTGCGTTACTTGCGAATTGAATTTTGTAGTGGGAGGCTTAAATGTCGAAGAAGTTACTCTAGTTGGTTCATTGAATTGATTTGAAGCACTAGTCGATGATATTACTGGTGGCAAATACTCAGACGATTTTATACTTGTCGGTTTAGAAGTAAAAGTAGTTAATTGCGGTATTGTGAAAAATATTGGAGGGTTTGGTTTTTGCGTTGGTGCAGATGTAAAGAATTTTTCAGTTGTTTGATAAGGGGAAATAGTTGGTCGTGGACGCGAAGTCGGTGCTTGCGTTGTAAAACTTGATGGAGGACTCGTCACTTTTGGTGGTAGATATGGCAAAGGTCGAAGAGATGATGCAGGTCTTTGATCAGGAGCGTATGATGAAGGTCGTACTGGTCTAGGAGTTGATGTTGGAAATGATTGAGTTATTGGCGCAAGTGTCTGTGGTCCCGGTATTTTTTGAGAGAACGGTTGAATAGACGTTCCAAATGCTGGAGGAGTGGGTCTTCTATCTGGACCACGAGTTATTGGCGCCTGAGTTGAAGAATATGGAGGGACATAAGTTACAGGTTGTCGTGGTTGTGTTGGTCTTTGAGGAGCGGGCTGCTTTGGTTTTTCATTTGGCAGAAACGGTGATCTTGTAGTTAGATTTGGAAGTATTTGAGTTGATGCAAATGGTGTTGGTGTCGTTAGCCGTACATTTGAATCTGAATGTACAGGGGTCTTACCGAATGGTGATGGTGGAATATAAGATACAGGTTGGCGTGAAGGCTGATTGAAAAATGGCCCTGTAGAAATTTGATTTATTTGTGTACCGGGTCTGTTAGAAGGTTGTTTTGATCCAGGTCGAGAAGGATATGTATTATAAGATCCGGGTTTAGAAGATTGTTGATTTGAAGGACGTTTTGGTGGAGTCGGACGTACGTATACAAATGGTCGTGGTGAGCCAGGAAATTCTGTTTCAACAACTACACTTGGTTGCGGAGGTGCTGACACAGGTGGGCCGATAAAAATTGATGGAGTTGGCTTATCAGGAGCAAATGTATTAGGTCTTTGAGTATTATATGGATTTGGTGTAACTGAAGATTCCACAGGCTGCTTAGAAGTTGTATATCGTTCTGATGGCCGTGACGAAGTAAATTGATCAAGAGATTGATTTGGTTTTTGAGAAGGAAGATTAAATTGTATTTCAGGTTTTGGATAGCCATATCCAGTAGCAGGAGATTGCCTTTGAGCAGTTGATGTAAAAATGCTGGACGTAGGTTTTGCTTTTATTGCATTTTGTTCTGCATTAATTAGTGGTGGTCTTGTTTGAGTTGGCGATGTCCTTGATGGTTGAAAGGGTTGCGACGTTGATGGTTTTGGATAGACATATCCTCCAGTCTGTTGATTATTTAACACAGGCTTCGGTTGAGGCGATGGTCTGTAATTAGTTACTGGTGGTTTCGGCTGAGGTGGCGGCGTTCTCGGTGGTTGAAAGGGTTGCGACGTTGATGGTTTTGGATAGACATATCCTCCAGTCTGTTGATTATTTAACACAGGCTTCGGTTGAGGCGATGGTCTGTAATTAGTTACTGGTGGTTTCGGCTGAGGTGGCGGCGTTCTCGGTGGTTGAAAGGGTTGCGACGTTGATGGTTTTGGATAGACATATCCTCCAGTCTGTTGATTATTTAACACAGGCTTCGGTTGAGGCGATGGTCTGTAATTAGTTACTGGTGGTTTCGGCTGAGGTGGCGGCGTTCTCGGTGGTTGAAAGGGTTGCGACGTTGATGGTTTTGGATAGACATATCCTCCAGTCTGTTGATTATTTAACACAGGCTTCGGTTGAGGCGATGGTCTGTAATTAGTTACTGGTGGTTTCGGCTGAGGTGGCGGCGTTCTCGGTGGTTGAAAGGGTTGCGACGTTGATGGTTTTGGATAGACATATCCTCCAGTCTGTTGATTATTTAACACAGGCTTCGGTTGAGGCGATGGTCTGTAATTAGTTACTGGTGGTTTCGGCTGAGGTGGCGGCGTTCTCGGTGGTTGAAAGGGTTGCGACGTTGATGGTTTTGGATAGACATATCCTCCAGTCTGTTGATTAGTTAACACAGGTTTCGGTTGTGGAGATAAAGTTGGCTGCGGTTGATAAGGTTGCAGTGTCGATGGTTTCGGATAAACATATCCTCCAGTCTGCTGATTAGTTAACACAGGTTTCGGTTGAGGTGATGGTGTGTAATTAGTTACTGGTGGCTTTGGCTGAGGTGGCGGTGTTCTCGGTGGTTGAAAAGTTTGCGATGTTGGTGGTTTTGAATAAACATATCCGTCGATCTGTTGACCTAGAGACACTGGTTGTTTAATCGGTTTAACTGGCTGCACTGGTTTTTCCGTTTTGGAAAATTCATATGGATTAACCACATTTTGGGGAGTTGGCGATGGCCTTGGTTGAAAAGGGTTCGTTGGTATCGATGTTACAAGTGATGGCTGAGGAGCAGCTTCTACTCCTCTGCTATAATCCCAAAAATATATAGGTTATTATAATATTAATGAAAAAATCATTGATTGAATAGAATGATTAAATTTTTGTTTTTAATAATACACCTACAGTGGCAACCTAAATGGCTGGCTTGGCACTGGATAATCATAACCTTGAAAACTTCCAAAATTTTTCGAAGCACTATCAATCGCTCTTTTACTTCTTTCGCCTGCATGGCAGGAAGCGATAAGTACCACTAAAGTGGTATTCCATAATAGCTTCAACTATAAAAGAATTATATTGCATTTTTATGTTAAATCATTATATGTGGAAGGAAAATTAATTTCTAAATCGTACTTATGGAAAATGTGATTTACTTTATATATTGTTTAAAAGATCAAGTATTTATAAATTTGCATCAATCATTTTTAGATAACTTCACAACTTAATAACGAAGATGTTTATTAGAACATACGTGTGAGTGATTGAGTAATTGAGTGAGTGAGTGTGAGTGTGAGTGTGAGCGTGAGTGTGCGTGTGCGTGTGCGTGTGCGCGTGCGTGCGCGTGCGCGCGTTTGTGCGTGTACGTATATACAATTATGAAACTAGCTTATTATAACGTTAGATTTATTTAGAGTAGCGACATATTGTTATACCGAAGAATGAACGTAAAATGAAGAAACAACTGTGAAGTAATTTACTTTTACTTCGTTATTTAAAATATTTATAATATATTTTATTACGTAGAATATAAATTTTAAGATTGAATTATATTGATAAATATAAAAATTAGTAATAATTCTCTATTATCAAATTATATTTAAGGATTTTTTTTTTTTTTATTTAATCGTGATTTACAAATATTTATTTTTTTGTTTTGTTTTGTTTTTGTTAAATTTAATAGTGATTTTAAATAAAACTGTCGTGATAATTAGAGATAATGAAATAGCTTTGAATAAATATTTAAATAAATTTCAATCCTTTGTATAGTATAGTATCGAAACGAAGATTATGTTTAATACTAATTGGATCGAAGAATTTTTTTTGGAAAAAATAATTGTCAAATATAAAATAATTTAATCCAATGTAGCAAAAGGGAAAGTCTGAAAGCCATATGAGTTAAATTCTTAACAAGAAATCTCCTTAATTGTTTGTCGGTATACAAGAACAATATCACTGTATATAGAAAATACGTTCATTGTCTCAATGTAGGCATAGGATACAAAACTAACTTACTTTTGCCATTCAATAGTAAATAAAGCCTTAGTTCATTAAAAATTGCGATACGAGTGGCGAATGTTTGTAAATATATGAGTTGAAATTAATATTTCTACGAAAGATACAAGATAAGAAACATAATGGTAAAATATGTTTATCGGTTTATCACGAAATACTAAATATTTTCTATGCCACGTTAAGTTAACTTGTAGAAGTTAACATTTTGGCTGCAGCTCGAAGTTAGTATTTTAATGTCAAATTGATTAAAGAACGTCTGATATCATGTTTATTCGATTGAGAGATACGAAAAAGAAAAGAGTAAGAAAAATGGGAAACCTGTTAGTTTTATGCTCTTGCGAAAGGACGCAACTCATCCTGAATTTTATGAACATTTTTTTTATTTTACGCTAAATTCTTTCTCGTTCAATTTACAATCCTGACATTTATTAAATAAGCTTTTCAACATGACGAGATATAGCAACCTCAAACACATCATTAATTAAAGGAATTAAGCAAGCATACCGACATTATAACTTCTTGTGTTCAAAGCTATTTTGTCATCGCTAATTCGTAAGAGTGTTTGAAAAATTTTTCAGAAATGCGCACAAACAAAATATACTTAATTACATTTAATAATTCCGGTAAAGATACATTTTCTCGTCTTTTCAAGGCTATGCAATAGATATTATAGCATTTGAGTAGATGCAAATGATGAATCACGGCAAGGGAATAAACCTTAACGGCTGATTGTGACGTGAGACTCGGGAGGATACCTCAGAAAATAAGTATACGTCTGCAGTATAATCTTTAAGAAATTGAAAGTTCTTTTCTACTCTGTTCTTAAGAACAAGAAGAAGAAGAAGATAAAGATGAGATGATGAAAAAAATTAAAAGGAACATACCACTTATCCGCGAATAACTAAATACTTTAACCTTCGTCCGATTGGCCTAACGCGATGAGGCCTTTTAGTCAAATCAATGATTTTATGATTTTAATCTGGAAATAAGTAATGAGACAAAGTAGAAAAAAGAAAAAAATGGGTGGGGGGGGGGGGGGGGGGGGGGGGGGGGGGGGGGGGGGGGTGGACGAGGGAGAGAGAGAAAAAACACGTATAAGATAGTTAGTACACGACGAGGAATTTTTACAAAATCAACGAGTAGAAAAATTCTTTTCGTGGATTAGAATTTTTAATCATAGTTATTTTTAGATCAATCATTGGAAAAAGTATATTGGCATCCCGGAGTGGAGAATTCTTCGAGAACTTAGGCGATTCCCAATTTTCAATTATTAATTCGGCAATTTTTATCGTATTAACTTCGAAAGATCATACGGGCTGAGACGTATTATCGAACGGCATATTTTACAATTATTGACACGGTATTTAATGGGAAATTATTTATTCTCGAATTTTTACTAATTTAATGTCAACGATATCCAAACGATATCCAATGTAAATTTACACCTTCTGAGAAGGAATTCAAATTATCATTATACAATGACGAGCAGAAGATATAACATGTTATAAAATTTTTACCTACTATTAACGAATAATTCATTAATTAAACTTATAAATATAAATTTGCTTCTATCATTAGGAACAATTATCTAATAATAATCGTATATTATTACATACTATTGTATACTATGGTTATTAATTACTCTAATATAGTCTTCAATAATATTACAAAATGTAATTAGAATTTTCAAGTTTTATCTATGCCATTAATTCCCGTAATATAAATAAATAAAACATGTATATATATATATATATATATATATATGTATTTTTTTATTTTTTATTTTTATATATAATAATAAAAATGTTTGTTTAAATTTAGTACCTAAATCTCATAGGTTAACCATTTTGATTATTAGATATTACAAGAGAATCAATGATTTAAGTAGAGAAATAACTTGATTACTTTATTACGTCGTTATAATACAGGTTGTTCACACTTATCAATCTTGTTACGTGATCGATCAAACTAGAAAAACATAGATATGTCCGTTAGACTCGACGCTAGATTGTTCATATAATTAATAAGAGATTAATTGAAAGTAACAATGAACTTAAATTGAGCGATTATCAAATTTTGACGAATTTAATAGTACGTTTATATAATAAAAAAGTGACCTTTCACCACTAGTCACACATCACATTTCTTTAATATTCACAGATGCACAACACTTTAAAAGCGATATTTCACAAGATTTTATTGAATTCATTATTTATTTTGTAAGCAATTTAATAAATTATTCCAAGTAATATTTGTTTTTCAATAGATAAAAAATGTTTGGTAATAGGTGAAATGATGAGTCAATATATTTACTGATTAATTTAATTGTATTTCTGTTAGTTAGGCAAGTTAACAATCTATACTTTCGTATTCACATTTATCATCGCGTTTTTACAAATAAATGATTCTCTCTTTTTCTCTTTTTCTTCATCGGTATCTATTTATACTTTTTATTAGTTTTCAAACTGAATATATTTGTGTGTGTGTGTGTGTGTGTGTGTGTGTGTGTGAAATGTGTGAAATTTGTGTGAAATGTGTGTGTGTGAGTTATGGTCTTGTAAATATAAAAAATCTACGTATAAAGATAAAATTACAAAACAAAAAATGTACAAACGATAAAAGCAAGCTTTTCAAATTCTCTTTTATAAAATACATATAAAAAATAATACTTTTAAAAAATGTTAATTGTACTTGGAGTAAAGCGTTTAAAAAATTTGCATTTTCATTCATTTATTTATATTTTTATGCATTTATATAATACTGTTACCAAAGCAATTAAGTCCTGTCGATCGATTTATTTCCTTATAATAGAGATTTTTTTATCCTTATCTCAGTCTCTACCGTTTTCAATTGCCAATACCACTATAAACACTTCAGCGGTAAAAATTTTAATTTCCTTATAAATTTTCATTAAATTCGTTAATTTTTCATTCAAATTAGGATTTAAAGATTAAATGAAATTGAGCTACGAATTTGAGTTCTTAATGATTTAGTTAGTATAGACAACCTTTCCCGGTACGGACAATATAATATATACGAGACAATTTTATCTCCCGTCACATGTGTAATTTCTTATGGAATGAGAAATTTTAATAAAATGAAATGCGTGATTAAGCATGAATAAATACATTTAACAGTAAAACTGCTCGATTATTTTCATTCTATTTCTATATTAATAATTAATTAAAAGTCGGTAACGATTAAAATCCTTATATCTTTGTTAATTATATAATTTCAAGGTTTCGAATAAATATTATGCATATATATATATATATATATATATATATATATATATATATATATATAATATATTGCGTCTGGCGAAAAATTTTTTCAGACTTCTTTAAATGCAGGAATCTTCGTGTAACTTAAAATTTTCAATGCCTGTTAAGAAATTACGGGATTTTTTTTCGTACCACCGCTTCATTCTCCATAACAATAGAAATTGTTAAATGAATGATTTATGATAAGATGCAAAACTGTCGTAATCAAAACGAATTAAAACGTAAGAATTTACGAACTCGAGTAAAGATAAAACACAAAAGTAAATAAGCATTTAAAATGCGCGCACAATGTTTCTCTGCATAAATATTACACGCTCACAGCCTCGGATTAACGATAATCATTTGGCAATGTCCATAAGTAAGCACAGTAAACAAAAGTGAAACTTTCAAACTGCAAATAATGAGAGGACAGTCCGCAGGAAAAAGCGTAAGTTTGCGATGGTGTGGTGGTCGCTTAGCGACGAGAAATCAAAATTTAAATGTACAATTGGCCAAGCCACGCTATCGCTGTTCGTAAAGTTGGTAATAAGTGTTGTGCATCCACCGTTGCGTGCGCAATTACCAACTGCCGAGCGAACTTGCGAACAGCACTCGAGGCTGCCAAGCATATTTCAAGCTCCCCTCGTCCAAACGCGAAAGCCCAGACGTCCCCCGGCATCCACAGGTGCGGGTCTCGTCCTTATCACAGGTCTCACACTGGCTGCGCGTCACTTCCGGATAACGTGCGAGGAGAGGATAATGGTGTCCCGATGACGCCGCGATCGGGGTGTTCGATTAGGGGAGTGGGAAAGGCTGCCAGGGGTGTCACTCGCGTGGCCGGGCTGGTCGGGGTGGGGGTGGGACGGGCCGCCCTTTGAGCCCGTAACTTACCATCGTGCCACGGTCTCCGTCTCGCAGGCTCGGGGCTCGGTTTGCTTCGTCACGGGCGTCCTTGCGCTCGGATTAAAAACTAACGCATTGCTCGCGGGATCGGTTGTCCCGGGAGTTAACTTGTGCGTGAACCCGCGCGATGGAGCATTTATAGGATTCACCCGGTTGCTCGGCGTTAACGATCGGCCATGGAGTGGGGGGTCCCGCGCGCGCGCCCGGGGTCCAGCCGATGGTCGTCGAGCGCCGCGAGGATGCTGTAATGGGCCTCACCCGTGAGTGGGGCTGAGCGAGACGGAGAGAAAGGAGAGGCCGGCCGAGGAGCGAGAAGTCTGGTGGGTTACGGCGGCGGGACGGGGATCCCCCGTGTACGTGTGCGTAACTTTGATGGGGGAGGGGAATGTTGGGGACGGGGGAGGGAGGGGGTGTGTGACGGTGATGGTGCTGGTGTAGAGATGATACGGGGGGGGGGGGGATGGAAGGAGAAGCCGGGGAATCCATGGCTCCGCCTCATTGGGCCTAATGGAGCGGCTTTGACGCGGCCGAGCGCGTTGAACGAAATTCGTTGGGATCAGCGAGGATGTCACGTAGCTCGTGGAGGCCCTAATTTTACGAATTATGCTCGAGAGAGGCATTGTCTGCGCGAAGATTTAAAATGGGTTTGTGAATAAATTAGGCCAAGATTGATAAACTCGAGCACCGAGTTTTTCGAAAGTTTTATGAACGATCGTCGAGACGATTAAAGAAAATACTCTGGGCATTAAACTCTTGGGAGTGATGCTCGATTCAAAGCTCCATACGATAAAATGCATAAAGAGCCTCGATTTTATGCTTGTAGGCTTAGAAAAGGAGAGAACGAGGATCGTTCTTTTATTGGCTGTTGTGTAGGCTAATGCATAGGAGATTAGTTTAGATTATCCGTATAGTGAAGCTGTGGATACACGAGTTACGCTATGTAATGATTTACCAATAAATTTAAATTATATATGCCATAATTGTTTTAAATAAATTTAATGAGTATAATTAATGCATGTGTTGGTAATGTAATACTTGTAGGATCTTTACGTTATCCCACATGCTTGGAGGAATGGGAATGTGAAAATTGTTTTATCCATCATCGTTTTAGGCCAGTTGTACTTGTAAGCTAATATACTCATAACATATTAGTTTGTACTATTATAATTATAAGTATTCGATCTGTCGTATTTCTCCAATGAACTAGTAATTTTTGTCGAATTAATAAATTAATTATTTGGACCGTGTATTTTTATATTATCATAGGGTGTGAGTGCAATCAATGATCTTAATTTTTATTGCAAAGAATAAACTTAAGAAAGGTATGCGAAGAAACATACTTAACACACAATGATACGAAAAATATTTATTTAAATCGTATAATGATTAACGAATTTAATGAAACAATATAATTTTGAAAATCTATGTTTACAATGTTTTAAATTAATAAATAATGATATTGGTGAAAATGTAACTGGCCTTGAGAAATATATACGCGAGGTGTGCAAATTACATAAATTAAAGTAAAAGTTCGTTTGAAGAAACCTTACATTATTATAAAACTCATCAAACCGCTTCGTTTTAGTGTAAACATTTTTAAAAAAATTTCCACCTCGATTATTATACTTTATCATCGTCCTTGACAGAATGACAAATTCCTTCCATTTTAATCAGTTTAATAAAATTTGTGTGTAATGAAGGGAAGCGCTTGAGAAGTAATCGGCAAGTAATACTCGTAGTAACGAATTTAACAACAATTGGCCGAATTCTAAAATTATGTATAAATGTTTTTAGTCCAATGTAAATTATGTAAATGAAGATATACGTATTTTTATCATTATATAAGTTTAGAACGCGTAAATTAAATTTCATATCATTTAATCGCGGTAACATAAGCGTCTGTTGAAAAAAGGTTAATCTCTTATGCAATCACTGTCGCCCAATTAGCTGAAGATTTTCTTTTTCTTTGTAACGTTAGTCATCAATAAATTTTGGATTATATGTTATATATTATTGAAATTGAAAAAATTGTTTAAAAAGCAATTGTGTATCTCTATGCAAGATAATTTAAATTTAAATTTTATGAATTCAAATCAACAGTGTGGATAATAACGATAACTCAGCTTGGTCTTTAATGATATGAATATGAAATTTTATTCGGAATTTCACCGTTTCCGCCATCTTCATTCCTGCACGCTTAATTTACCTAAAGTTTAATGTAAATCTGTCAAGGTCACTTAGTCGGAAGGACACGGCATAGCCTTATGTATTTGTAACTTGGCCTAAGTGTATTTAATTGTGTTTTTAATATTATATGAACAATATTTATTAGATTTATTAGTGAATTGGAAGAAAAGATTATTACAGAGGTACGATTACTTTACAGAGGAAAATTGGCGGATTTCACGAGCACACTCACATTCATATATGAATATCGATAGGAATATATGCACGTGTCATGTATCAACACAAATGCAATTCCATAAAGTACCTAATATCCGTAGAAATTTAATGTTATGACATTCAATGAATGACAAGTAATTAAATGCAAAGATTTAATTAACTTATTTTAATCGCATAGAATATTTTGTGTTTTATTAGTTGACTTCGTTATTATATCCTCAGCATTCAATTAATTGCGTATTAAGCATATTAAACAATTATAAAGTTTCAAATTAAAGTATGCTTTATCAAAAACCTCATTGGAGCTTGTCATTGATGTTGATATTTCAGCGAACTGTACATACAATTTTTCATTCAATTATTGAAGCAATAAAATAATTAATTAATAAAACTAATTAGATTGGCTGACGAGATTATCGAATTTGTATGACAAAGTTTTTTTTTTTACCATTACAACTTAATCATAAATTTAAGTTTAATTAATTTTAATAAGTATAATTAATACAGCTTAATAAAACACGTTGCAACATAAATAAAATTTAAGGAATTATCAATAAATGCTTTTAAAATTTAATCGATTTGACTAAACAATTACACTCTATGTTGCAACTCTTTCTTAATAAATATAATTGATTTATAATTATTTTCTTTGATTTGTTGGCTTCATATTAATTAATTTGAAATATTTCAAAGGAAACATTTCGAGCACACTGACCTAAAAAAATTAAATAATTTTTTTTTTTATGTTTAATACAATGTACATTTGATTTAGCTCAAGAATAAATTTCAGCGTGAAAGATTATTAATTGAAAAATCTTTGTCCTCCCTGATAAATTACTTGATCGGATAGCAAAATGTTAATTTTTCAACAAACGATGTATAAGATGAATAAGATAACACTTTTTATATTATATGAAATTTATGTCATGTTTAAGTAACTTTTGCGCGAGTCTAAGTAAAGTAGTTTAAAGGTATATAAATAGTTTAAATGTGATTTTCAATGATTACGATTACGGCTATGTCTTTCATAAACAAAATTTATGTGGAAATAGCATTTCTCAAAGAAGCTAATATTTATTCAGTTAGATTTTAATATTTATACTTTATTCTCACAGAGCCTACTTTAAAATTATTTTGAAAAGGGTTGTGACACTTTACGACTTTACCTTTCACTGCAAACATTAGTAGTCTATGAGAACGGCATTCCATATAATTAGACAATTCATCCATTCGATATAATGGAAACATGGTCGTTTTTGTTAAAAATGATTCTACCGATGCTCGTTTAACCAATTGGCCGTTAACATATAATTAACATGCTTTAACATATAGTTTAACAAATTATCAAGACGCAATCTGGCTAATTTGCAATGTACAGGGCCGTGCATATTGATTTGAGGGAGAAAGTACCGTATTTTCGCACACATTTCATCAGTCGTAAGGTCGAAAGCTCGATCTGGTTTTCGGTTATCGAGAAGAAATTTGCAGGGATACGAACAGTTTTTATGATCGGATTAAGTTTTTATATTTTTTATGTGAATTATACAGATATGTTCTTTTACCTGCTTTTGGCCTGTAACTTCATACTTTCAACAGAAGTATGGTAATGCTGTTAAAAAACATATTTTTAAAATCAACATATTTTCAATTATATATTTAAATGAAACAATCTTTCATGGATAATTACGAAATAAATATAATAATTGTGTGATTAACTATATTTTTTATAACGAGTAAAGAATAAATTGATGTGAAAACTGATATTATCTACTAAAGAGCATTTTTTCGTTTTTATTACATTTGCATTGTATTTCCAAGTAATTTCCAAGTAAATAATTGTATTTGATGTTTTTTTCTTCTTTATTTTGTTTTAATTAACTTATAATAGCTTTCATTCGTTTTTTATTGAAACAAAAATAAAATATAATATACATCGTGCAATTGTTTTGAAATATTAACGATATAATTAAGCATTATAAATAAGGTATTTTTTACAGTAAAATATGCCTAATGTTAAGCCATGGTAACTGGTTAGTATTTTTTTAACAATGAATTCTTTTAGTAGAGAAAATAAATTTTTTATAAGCATGAAAAAACTATTTAACAAATTTTGTAATTTAAAACATTAAATTAGTTCAAAAACATATTTTTCTCAGAAGATATATGCAGGTTTTCTTCTGATCGAAAAATTGGCAAGTTTGACTGTTAGTAAAATTGAAAATCTATAATTTATTTGCAGCCTTAATCTTAGTGGATTAAGAGGATCAAAAGTTGAGAGATTTTTTAAAAGTGGGCAACCTCGTATGGACTTGTAAATAAATGAAACGATTGCAATTAGCATTAATTGACAAACGCAATCTGTACAAACGCAATTCGCCTGTCGGTCAAAATTTCCTCGAATTAATCAATACTTTTGTTTATGCCAATTTTTAAAAAATATACACAGAATAATTCCCGAGAATCATTCACTACTATCTAATAATTAATTATTTCGATCAATTTTATTATACGTAAATTAATTTTAATATTTTTGACAATGAAATATAATAATAAAATAGTGAGAAATTTGTTATTGGAAACAAGAAAAATTAAAAATAAATTTAAATAATTATACTTAAATTATAAAGAAATTCTTAAAAAAAAAATACTTTCTCAGACCTTATTCGGGTTTTTTTTTCTCTTTGTTTTATTATTGTCGCGTCTAGACATGCACTTAAGTCTTTTCTCACCTAACATTTTAATTTTGAATAACATTAATGTGTCAACTTCTAGGTAAGTGTCAGTGGTAATAATCATAAAAAGGGAATATTTTTTTCTAAACATAGGCAAATTTGTATGAGCATAAAAAGTATTCTTTATGTAACGATTAACTTAACAATATAATTGCATTATTAATAAACGAACAATTTATCATCTAGTAGTACGTCGTAATTTATGAGAAAGTTTGTTCATGTATATAGAACTATGAACTTAGTATTCGTTACTTCGTACATAACTAATATTAAAAACAAACGAACGTACATGTCAAGTTCAGGAAATTTAATTATTACAAGCACATTAATTACAAGTAACCATAAGAACTGATTTTATGAGAAACATTAAATACAGACGGTATCATCTAGTTTAATAGTCGTTGAACTGCGGATGTGATAATTTATATACTAAAATTATAAATGACGGATCATATCTCAGCTCACACGACTGTTATCTCTTCTAATTACTTGCGTAATGAGAATTAAAAAAAAGACATCATAACTACTATTTCGACATAATATTAGAATAGACTTGGGAACATCGGTTCCACGAGTAGCCGCTGATCAAATGAATATGCATAAAATTCTAATCATAGTCAAGGAAAAAACATAGCTGCACATGCATAATCATTATTAATATTTTATTAAAGTTTTATGATGAATGATTTTAAAAATTACTCGATATATATGTATTGCCGTAGAATTATAATCTTCATTGGGTCTGATTTATTATAACTTTAATTTTTCAAAAGAAATGGTCACTCTTCCTTTCGTTTATTCTTTGTTTACATTATATTTTATCCTTGACATAATCATTCCTAAGAAAACTTTAATATGGGAAGAGGATGTAGATTTCTTTTTTTTCACACATTTTGTGAATTATTTTTTGTGTTTACGTGTATGCTTTTTTTTTTCTTGTTATTTTATTCAATAATATTTTACTCAAAATTTATACACTTTTAGAACATTTATATCCTTATTCCACTTCTTTTATATTATTTATCTTTATAATGTTAAAAGGAATATAGCATACTAAGCCTTTTTTAAATGGAATACTGGAAATGGAGAAAATAATAATGTTTTATCATGATTACCACTTTCATTTTTCATTGAAATTTAACCAATAACTGAAATTTAAACGTATAAATAATTTCTTTTATTTTCTTATACAAAATATTAGAAAACTATTAAAGAATTCTTAGGAAGGAATCCTGCAAAATACAGTTAAAGAACATTTTTCTTAGAGATTTTGAATGAAAAAATAAATACAATATTTTCGGGACATATACGTTGTGTATATTGATAATACTAAAAATATATGAATTATTGAAAAGTCTCTGTTTAATTAATTTGTTCAATAAATTATGATTCGGTTTATTCCATTTAAGCAGTGCTAAATAAAACTACGATATTGCAGACAAATATCGTATTACTTCATAGATCATATAGCAATTACACCTTCAATCTTCTACCCGTAAATCAATAATAAATTAGTTTATCTTTAATATTAAAATATTAAAATACCATGTTCTCTTATTAAAATATAAAAATGTAAATTTAACAATTAATAATATATTAAAAAATAAAATCACAATTTAATGTAATTTAATGTAATCCATGATATTAAAGGGACATTTGGACAGTGATAAAAATGATAAGTATATAATAATCGGTAACAACTAATGGTTTTCATAAATCAAATAAATAATGCCTATTTCAATATGTTTTTACTTGGTAAAATTATATATTTCCATAAAAATTCTGGTACTAATTGCGTTGTTCTAAATTAAAATTCAATTAGCTTATATTAAATTTAGTTTTAGTAGTATTTTTATATATAATTTATTATTATAATTTAGTATTAAATTCAATTAGCTTATCGATTAAATTTATTCAATACAATGTAATAATTAAGAAGAAGATCAATAATAATCAAATATATAAGAAACATTTAAGAAAAAACGTTAAAAAATATTGTAATATATTATGATTTCGATTATTATGGAAATGAAGCAGTAATAATTAAGTTCCTTATTATTCCTATTAATACAATTAGCTTCTGTACTACAAAGTTTCAAATCCACGTTAATCTCTATATTTACGATACAGAGAGAATTTTCACGCATAAAATAAGTATTAATATATTTTAAGTCTTTTATACAAACTATTGGAATTCTAATAAAACTCTAGGTCATTGATAATGAAATTTAAAATAGTGAATATATTGTGTATATGTATACATATATATATATATATATATATATATATATATATACATACATATGTATACAATTGCAAAGGAATTTAAATATTCTATTTTTGTGGAATCTATATGTATAGATGACGAGTTTTCTATAGAAATAATAATTCTATAATTTATTTTTATAACATTATAAAAATGCTCCAAATAATCGCTTTCGTAACCAATGTAGCCACGAAAAATGCAATTAACTATTTATATTATAATATAACTAATAAAAATATCCGTTTCAGGTGTTACATTACTTTATGTAGTATATGTAATTATTTATTATTATGATTTTTGTTTTTTGGAGTAGTTGTCGATAATGATTTATTATTCAAGTATAACAATATCTGTGCCATATAATTGTGATCCTGCATAGTTATTGAATAAAAGAAATCATTGTAATTATCGTGATGGAAAATCATATTGTAAAACTATTTATTTTTTAAAATAGATTACATAATTATCGTTTATAGTAATATTACATTTTTATTTACTTATTCTCATTAAACATATTATAATATGGATATTTGGACACTGTTATTAAGTTGACAAATTCCATTATATGTATTATAGATTTTTAATAATAAGAAGCTTAGGAGCAGAGGCCGATTCAAAGATACGTATTTTTTTTTTTGTTTTTGTTTTTATTTTATTGAAAAGGTTAACATTTATAAAATGAAGTAATAATTAGTAATATAAAAACGATGAAAAATCTGAAGTAAATCGATGATTTTTATTTAATATGATTGGCCAGCGAGATGAGACCGCTGCCAAAAAGTGTCAAGATCGAAATCAATTTGCTGTGAAAATTTAATAAAATGTTTGCCCGAATCTCAGAGTTTTTCATCAGATAAAGTAACCATGTCCAAATCCGCCATATGGATAGCCTGTAAAGCAACGAGTATGAATTATTAGCTCGTGAATTTTTTAATTTTCGTGCATTTGTAATATAATTCAATCCACGAACTCCAAAGTAAAGTTTTAATGGGCTCGTTGGTAACTTACCCCACTTGCCGTGTCCGTAGCCAAATCCATGACCATATCCATATCCGGCACCATAGCCAAAGTAGGGATATCGATGATAAGAGTAGCTAGGGTAGCCGTATCCTCCGTGATAACCTCCGTGACCATAACCCAATCCGTGATAACCAGGCTTAGCAGTTACAACTGCTAGCATCGCGACGAGTAAAAATGCCACGAGCTATTAATCCAAATAACAATGCTGTTATCGACGTAATGAGAATTATACTTGTAATAGAGAAATTTGTTTAATTCCTAAGTGATAAGTCCTTTGCGAGTATTGCTTCTTGAAGTTTAATGCACGTAAAATTAAGAATTTAGAATGCTTTTAATGTTTCATTCAATGTAAATGTGGAATGATGCTTAGCGACGGGAGTTATCTTAGCATTCTCTCGCACATTTATTAAACAATTTAATATCTATTTTATAATTACTTAAGATCAAATATATGAATAAATGCTATAGTACCTTATTTTATTCGTATAAGAAATTCCACTTGTTAAATATCCTTTCAAAGGAGACAATTGATATTCTGAATTTGTGTGCGCGTAACGCATAGGTTCATATTATTTTACACGACCAAGTTATCTCAAAAGAAATAAGTAAGAACGTAAGCTTGGAATAATTTCTAAGCGATACTGGATATTGGATTTGAATTCTTAATTTATACTTCGGATATAAATCCGGATCGAATATACCACGGATAAATCTACAATGCAGATGAAGAATATCCATTGTCATAGTAGATTATTCTAACGGACACAGGTGAGGTATTTTTTTTTTTTTTTTTTTTTTTTTTAAATTTTTTTTCTTTTTATCATTAACTAATGTTTATGTAAGCTTAGATCGAATAAAGTGATGAATACGCGTATATAGAACTCAATTAAATAAGCATTGAATTACAGAGTATTCAGCAAGATCAACGGATACTTCGTCTTTCGTATAAAATGCTTTACGTAGTGGATATTTATATAAAATATTTATATTCTATCGATCTTGCAGCATCATAGCTAGAAGAGTATCGAGCGGCTTATGACGCTTTTGAAAAATACGATTTCCGATGATAAAAAGTAAGATGAAGTTAGTTAAAGAAGCGCCGCACCTTGTGATCGCGCACATAACATCCGAAAGTTGGATTGCCACACTCGTCCAATTCATTTTAACAAAGTGGACAGATTTAGAAAAGCTACGTCGACGTAGAATGCGGATAAGGCACACTCCCACAATGCGTCGCCCAAAGTGACGGATTAAGATAGAAAATTAAAAAAAAAAAAGCAAAATGAAAAAGATTAAAAATTAAAAAAAATGAAGGAACGAACGGAACTCCCAGCGCAATGGAAAAGCGAGGCGAAGAAAAATGCAAATGACTCACGAGCTTGGAGCAGGCCATGTCGAGGATCCAACGTCCACGGAGTTTCACAAATCCTCGACCGCTCGGCTCTTTTTATAAATCCGCGGATGCGCGCCTAGGACAGAACAAAGCCCCCCTACGACTACGGCCATCGGGTACGTCGCGGAGGACGATGACAAGATCGGTCACACGAACACCCGCCCGCGCTAATAACACGCTGCATCGGTCGTGGATGCTCATGCGAAGAGCCGGCTCTCTTTCAAAATGGACGCGGCGCCGACGCCCATCGGGATGCCCGTGGTACCGCGTAACGCCCGCGTAATCACATGTCATTACCGGCAACCCCTTGCGACATTTTTTTTTCCTCGGCACGCACGATATCATTAGCCGCGGGTCCGTCCCGCGCCTCCCTACCGCCAGCAATTACGTTCCCTCGGTCGTCGCGGACCGAAGAGGTGCCCGCGAGGATGAAGAGCGCCGAGGAGGTGTGCTCAGCGTCCGTTGCGCAATCTTCTCGCTTGCGACAGAGGCATCCGACTCCTCTCCTCGATGTCGATGCACGCCCACGCGATGCGTCCGAGGGGCGCGACTGCGTCGCTCCCGCATACGTCTTTGACGCTGACGACGACGACGACAACGACAACGCTTCTCCGTCGGCTTTGGCGACTGGCTACCCGTCATCCCTGTAGATTGTTTGGAATACGGTTAATCGCTCGACTTTGCTTGCTAGTGTGCCTTTGTCAAGGAGACAGGAAGCTTGAGTATAGGGTAATGTACAGCCACATATCTGTGCTGAGAAACCAAGTCGAGGAAAAAAAGTTCTTCGGCTAAAGTGCAATAATTCTATCGGGTTAAGTGCTTCGTCAAATTCCTTTCACTTCATCTTTATACTTTCTTTTCTCAATGTGGAATTAGCAACTTTTCATATATTTTTTTCTCCTTATCCCTTTTCAGCTTCATCTTCATTTCATTTTGTCGTCTTTATCTTCGTCATTTAGTTACTATATGATTATGTAATATTGCAATTATTAAATACCATTATTTTGTAATTGTTGCATAATAATAAATTGAAACGTTCACATGCCACGATCGATTGATAAAATAACATTAATGTTCACGACACATAATTTTTAAATCTTCCTATAGAGTATATTGCATTGAAAATACAACTATACAATATATGTTTATAATTTTTATAATATAAATTAATTAGTTTTTATGCTTTCATTAAGTTAAATATAAAATTTAACAAATTCTTTGTTAATAAAAGTTTTTTTCAAATGAAAGAAGAATGTACGGGAAAGTATTGTAACATTATTGTCAAGATACATAATTTTTTTTTACCATCGTTATCATTGCCATAGTAAAACAATCAAAAGTAAAATAAATAGTTAAAGTGATACTTCGTGAATCTTCTTAAGCGTTGCTTACTGATTTTATTGAAAATTAGGACGTATAAATAAATGTACATATTTTACTCACTTGTTTTTATTTTGTTTATATACATTAATTAATTAAAAATGAAAATTGAAAGGAATGTAGTTTTATTGCCATTACGCATATTTCAATTATACACTTCTTATGAAAATATATAAAATAAAATTTCCAACTTTCAAATTTATAAAATATAATAATGGCTATTTAAAGTGAATAGCAAATCTATTAACATATATATATATATATATATATATAATCTATATCGATTATTCTCTGATAATTGAGTATAATTGTAAAATTAACTTGAAATATTAAAACTGGAATGGATAATCGCATTGAAATAACTATGACGAAAGAACATTTAACCTATAAAGGAATTATAATTAAGATTTTGTTAAATTAATTTCGGAATGCTTCGGAGCTTTTTCAATTCCAAATTGAAAGCTTGATTATAAATTAGAGAACGTAGCTTATATTAATGGCAAACGAAGGAATAAGGAATAATAAATAAAGCATGAGTCGGGGATTATCAAGACATTTATTTTTGCAGTCGTATTATTGTTAAGTGTATATCTTTCAATTAAAAAATATAAAAATGAAGAAGGTGCGAGTCCGCATCTTCGACTCGTCGTTAGAAAATTACATTTACAATGAAACCAGCAACGATAAATCGACACATAGAGTTGCATTATAATCGGTAAGCGGCATCAGGCGAGGCTGATGGATTAGCCAGTAACGGCAGTTTCACTCTTCAGGCCTGATCCTTGCGTTCCTTTCCTCGGCTACGGCTGATCGGGGCCTTGCTGCTCCCCTCGGCCTTCAGCTCCTTTGGCCGCAGCGAGGCTTTGAGGGTCGGCGCCGGCTCGGCCAGCCTCTCCTTTGCCGCCGATGCTCTGAGCGACGAGTCGCCGTCGACGAAGCCGAGGCTGCTCGAGGCCCCGGTGCCTGTCGAGTAGAGGGGCCCACCGTCGAAAGACCCGGAGTACTCGGGCCCACTGAATGGCGAGCCGAGATTCTCGGAGAAGGGTAGTCCTCCGCCGACGCCGCTGACGCCGCCGACGCCGCCGACGCCGCCGCTGCCTCCGAAACCCCCGCCACCTGCTAGCGAGCTGTAGCCGAAGGATCGGTAGGGCCCCTGGAAGAAGCCATTGAAGTACGGATTACCAATGTCCTCGATACCACTGCCCGATCTGTCGAAGATATGTACGTTGCTTTAGTCAGTCGGGTGATTCTTTAAATCCTAGCGTTCGTAAGCGAATGTTCGATCAATAAAGTTCGCGAAGCTCTCGACTAATTCATTGGGAGTATAAAAATGGCTCAATGAAGTGGCTCTCAACGCTTGAATCGGTCAAACAAATTGCTTTTGCAGATAAACGTGCAATGAATGAGGTAGCATTCCGTATTATTATTTTCTCCGCAATTATTTTTTGAAATTAGTTTCATAAATTGATTATAGAATATCGTTTCATTTATCTTAAAGGCAAACTATCCCCGTCTTCGTATGAAAGCCGATTTGCATGAAAAAAAGGCGAAATAAGAATTCGAATTGGTTAATCTAGTCGATAGTTGTGAATAAACGCTTATCTGATGTACGTGAAATTTGTTATTGCAAACGCGCGAAGTCGGGTGTACGGGGGCTGCGGTCGTCGTTATTAATTGTCTCGAGCAACTCGAAAGCGATTTAAGGCGTTGGCTTGGCTTTTTGAACAACCTGCCCGGCTCGAAATACGCTACGGAACTTGATGATTTGCGAGTACCTCGGCTCCGAGGATGATAATCCCGGTCGGCCCGGGCCACCGCCATTATAATCCAAACCGAAATATCGGTTGCCGATTGGCGACCTGTACGATGGACCGGCACTGTTCAAGGGGATGTCGTTGTAGTTGGAGTAGTAATTGCGTTGCTGGTTAATCGGTGGATCACTGTAGTAGTTCTGTCGGATGCGCTCGTAGTCGATGGCCGAAAAGCGATTGTTGTCGACGCGTAGGTTGCCGATGCTCGGATCCTGGGCGCCACCTCCTGCTTGATTAAGATATTCGGAGCTGTCGAAGGGACGATTTTGAGCGCTAGATTTCGAATCGACGTTGGAGTCTGGATTTGGAATGGAGTTGGCATTGCCGTTTCGGAAGAGATTCATAAGTTATTATAAAGTTGCTTTTTTATCTTTTGTTCTTGCAAATACATTACTAATATTGACAACGCACCGTCTTTAATTATCAATTTACTTATATTGCGAATATTTGTCATACGGCTCGATGACGAAGCTTTGTATCTAATTTCATTGTACTTACTAACGCGACGACATATCAAAATTGTTATTGCGCAATGTTAATTGAAACCAACGATTAACGCTACCAATTCGATATTTAATAAACATATTTGGCTGTACTGAAATAATTAAAAGCACTTTTTATAATTGGCATTATATTTTTCAACCTCTCGCCATTAATGGCGAATATATATATATATATATATATATATACATATATATATATATATATTGCGTAATACTATAATAATACTTCAAAAAGGTTTTACATATCCTATTAAGAGGAGGACAGTCTCTCATATCCAGCACTGAGTAATTGTTATTCAACATCTTCCAGGAATAGGTGAAAGTAAGTGAACAACGTTTGTATAGAAAGCACACTTCCACGAGGAAATGTTGAAAAGCATTTAATAATAAAGAGATAAGGAGCTTTGATGTTTCTCGGAATGATAATACAAAAGATTAAGAAAAGTCTGCGACCGGTGACGAATAATTATGAACAGTATTTGTAATACCGAATAGAGCCTCGAGGCTCACCTTCGCGTTGTCGTCATTAACGTTGGCGTTGACGCTCCGCAACCTGGACAACTCGAGCTCCAAGGGTTCGAAGGGTCGGCCGTCGAGCTGCTGTTGTTGTTGCTGTTGCCGTTGCTGCTGGAAATAGCGCGGCTGGTAGGTGAGACTGTCGATCAGCTGCTGGTTGCCGAGGTCGCCGGCGGAGAAAAAGTTCCGGGGGAGCTGGTGGTTATAAAGCGGGTATCGGTAAGGGTAGGGGAAGCCTTGGCTAGTGCGGATTAGGCTTCCGGGGACGAGGGGTTCGTTCGGCCTTGCCTCGATCTGGCGACGGGAAATCGGTACGGCGGCCTCGACGTGGCCGACCGAATCGTTGGATCGCGAACTTTGGTGATCCCCGGCGAGGCTTGGCTCAAGGATCAACCCGACGCTCCGGGCCAAGTTTGACAGTCCATCCGCCGCTAGAAATCACAATCCATATAATAAAGCGGCAGCAGCGGCGACTTATTTGCCAAATTATTATCCATTTTCGTACGTAGAACTTATTTTTCGCTGATATAGATCAATTATAGCAATTTACAATATCTAGTTTCTTCTCTAACAATGAGGCTTGTTTTTATTCATGACAATGTTGATAATAAATGATGAAAATTTTAGCGACTCCGACGCGTGTGCATTATGATCAGAATTCAATTAATTGGAATGCTGCGGAGTTCAGTGAATAAAATTGGTTATGAAATATTATAAAAGTATAATAATATTTTCTATTGCACGAATTATTCTGGATTGTTTGAAATTTTTTCTCTCTCGAGTGGCCTTCCTCATAATACTTATTTAGAATTTTTAAATTTTCCAAAAAACATCTTCAGCAATTAATGATTTTATTTATTCTAGTTGATTCGAGTTAGTCGATAAAGCAATCGATCGTTAATTTACGATGACTTTAAATATTGACACTTAAACGGCATTGTAGATGCATATAAACGTATGTAATTATGCCTATTAAAATTGAATAATAGAGCGCTATAATTTTGTTCATAAAACGTAGAGTTAAGTAGGGAGAAATTGTTATTGTTAAAAACAACTTAGATTACCTAGTCAATTGTTTAATTGATAGATTTTTTTAACAAGGCATGAAGTGAATAGTTATTTAATCGATGAATAAGGAGAGAAAAGTTGGGATCTATGGAAATTAAGTTGCGTAGGAATTGATTTGAATATGTGCCTTGAACAACTCGTTAATAGCCCATTAACTAGAAAGTTTGTGTAAGGAAAAAATAAATCATTAATCAGTATTATTTAAGCGTAGTTGAAATATCAGTGACAAAAATAAAAAAAAAAAAAAAAAAAAAAAATAGATAAATAAAGTTAAACGTAACCAAGATATAGTCAGATTTTAAAGACAATGTGAAATATTTCTACATCAATGAACAACCAATATTTAAGAAAAAATTGATTTAACATCACACGTAATATATTGAATTGAAAGTGACGGCTTATTAATAAGTCTTGAAAGGTTGGTTAATCGAAAGCTTTTTCATTTTTTCATTCATCTTATTGCATATATTTAATGGTTTTTTTTTTTTTTTTTTTTTTTTTTTTTTTTTTTTTTAATACTTACATTAACGGTAGAGTCACTTTGACAATACTTACGCGCTAATCGAGCCGCATTCCCATAACAAAGAAGAAGACAAAACCACGCAACGCAGTTCAGAAGTGCCTGTTGAAATCATAAATGAAATTACTCGCGAATTTTTAGTGACATTGGTATTTGCGAATTTGCGATGATCCATGATTGCGCACGTATTAACGATAATTAGTAAAGCCGTCGTGCCAGAAATTCGCCAAACCAAACATTATAAACATTTTCTCTTCTAGAGCGCTCTAAACTCACGCTAAGGACTATCAACATTGTTAAGTAATTAAAAAGTACCGCTACGTACTTTTTACAATAAAATCAATACGTTTTTATTTTTCTTTTGTAACTGTTATAGCCGCACAATACGCAGAAGCTATGTAATTATTATTATTATTATTATTATTATTAATGAATAATTAATGTGAGAAACGATTCAAGCTCGACATTTCACAAAGATTAACATTTTTTCCCTTTCCAATTACAGTGATACCATACGTAATCCGACGATGTTTTTATTAATGTGCTAATTAAATAATCTTTCAGGCATATATAAACAAATACAAAGTCTCGAGAGTTTTTATAGCAGCTGGAGAGTGACGCGTCCCATCTTACGATTGCATACTACGAGGCAATTTTTTGCCCCGATTACCAAGATCGAGCGAGCGAAGGTGGCTTATCATTATTATTTTTCGATGGATGTGGCGAGCATCGGCCGAGGGCAGGTATAGCCGCATTTATCGGGCTATTTACCGCGATCTTACGTGGCTCGATGGCTTGATTGGAGGGTCGGCTGCCGAAAAGTCCCGTCGGGGCTTAAGTGGAACGTCAATGGCGGATTAAGAAGCGCGTGTGGATGTGGACGAGAATGGGATTGAGGATTAGGTGAAAGAGGTAGAGAGCGGCGGAGTGGCGTGAGAGTGGGGTAGGAAGACCTGGAGGGGTTAACACGATGCCGTTGAGAGCGGGCGAGGAGAGACTCGGAGGGAGGATCTCGATTTCGGCGTCGCTGATCGCTGGCCCTTTGCCTAAGTCCCCCAAAGCGCTGCGACGGTACTTACGTGCGGCGTGTAATGCATCGTGCGTGCGATTCATGAAGACTAAAGTGCACGCGAGCTCCCCGATGACATTTATACTTTCTCCGCGCGGGAAAAGCCATTGTTGTGCTCACCGGTCTGCGCCAGTGGTCTATATCCGCGGGGCCGTCATCGTTGAGAAAGGGCGGCGCGGGATGGTGGGACGGGGGGAACGGGCGAGCGACGCGACGCTAATGCCCGTCCGTCCGGGCAGGAAATGCGCCCGTTAAGCGTTGCGCGACTCGTCCCCTTTTTTTTTTTTTTTTTTCGTTAGCGCGCTCCACTTCCGAGACGGGGGAAAGCGGCGCTCGTTAGCGCGGCCGACAGCTGTCAAGACGGTGGGGCGCCAAGAAGGATGTAAACAAACGCGCTCCTACTCGGCTCCTTCGCTTTACAAGTGCATCCTTCGGCGCTACGGCGCACTTTCCTCCGTCGCGCGAGACTTTGCGAGTCGATTTTTTTTTGTCGTTGTTAGCCGGATTAATAAGGTTAAGGTTTACGAGCTCGGCGCTTGGTTTCCCGAACGGGGATTTATCTGCAGCGGAAAGCGTCCCGTATTAATCGCCTGCCTAATAAGATTTTCAATAGCTCCTTCGTAAAAAGGCGGTCATTTCTTCTAACACGTGCCTCATAGATTTTTTAATGTAAATAAATAGTAATTTGAGGTCGGCGTTTTATGATTTTGATCTTACGATAAATAAACGAGTATTGGGCCATTTATATTGAACGTTTTAGTCCAACAGGTACTAAAATAAAATTTCTCATGTACAAATTGTCCCATGAATATTCATTGGGTATAATCAAATTCATTCAATTACAGTCTCACACGGCTCTGTAGGAAGTAATAAAAAATGTTGGATTTTATTAAAAAATCATTATATCTAAGGAGAATTTAATCGTAAACGTTTAGATTTGAATCGCTTTTATTATCATATTTATTATTAAAACATTATTAAAATACTAAAAATATGATTATTTGGAATCTTATTGGAATTATTGTCAATAGTTTTTACCTATGTTTGAGAGATTTGTGTAAATATAAAAAAGCCCTTTAATCACTCGTATTGTTGTAAATTTTTTCAATACTCATCTTACTACTGTTTTGAGATTTTTAAAATTTCATTTCTAGCATTATTTTATATCTCTTCTATTACAAAATAAAATCTATATAAATACACTTTTCTTATATATATATATATATATATATATATATATTTTAACTATAAAATAAAATTATCTATCATATTAACGATAATCTTATATCGTAAAAGATTTTTTTATATTGGAATAGTGTGATGAATTAAATAATAAATTATCCCAAGAGAAATACGGTTAGATGCATATATATTTAATCGTAAAAAAGAATTGATTTGAAATGATTTAAACTGTTGGATTCTACCATAAAAGAATTTCTCTAATATTAGAAATATATATTTCGCCGAGGCATCCAAATACTACAAAAATTACCAAAAATGTTAAACCTCGTATTAATATATCAATATTTAATTTATCTATTAAATACATTGATTAGTTTATTTGGTAATTATAAATAGCGAATGAAATGTCATATGTTAATACATAAAAGTTATTTGCATTAAATTGATTACGAGAGAACGATTGTATTTTTGGTAGCTACGATATTACGTAATATTAAGTAGTACATATTCAATTTGAATTGGGAAATACATTGGGAAATTCAGGTTTTACAATCTGCCGTAAGTCGTAGAATCAAACATACCTATTGGTAAGCGAGTATGTCCTATCATAAGCTTAATAAAGCCGATAATTTGTCAAATTTTCCGAAATACGAGTATGAAACATCCGTGAAGAGGTATAAAAAGAAAACGACAACGATGACAAAGCTTTCTCCTGATATACGATAAAGCCATAGAGTTGAAACAATTTTACACGCAATGCAGCGGCCTATTTTGCATAACCAAACCAAATGAGTCAGAGTTAAGATGTGCACGTCGTCGTTGCAGTATTTGCCTCTGGCTTCGCGTTACATCCTTACAATTATTGAGTCTTTCCTTCGAAAGAGAAAAGCGCTCGTACGAGGAGGAGAAGCGTGCTTCTATGTATGAGAAGGCGTGGAAAGTATAATAATAAATTACGGCGTACCGAGCTTCATGCGAATCTAACGATTTTTGCATGGAGACGCGCAACAGACTCGGGGAATCTCAATTGTATATTCATTGGTATTATGAAAGAGTTGTACAGCAGTGGCTAACCAAAACTGCCGTCACGGAGCATTTTAATAATGCACTGCAAACAATTAATTATGTACTATTTCACGTGAAGTGCAACAAAAAGCTGTCATATACTTAGTACTAAGAGCTTCATTTTCAAATGATTTAATTAAGACTGAATTTTTAAGTAGTCGCTTGCGAACAATCATGACAAGCCATTAATTTGGAAGACTTACTGAGCGACCGTTTTATTTTGTTTGTAGTTTCAATCTCCAGGAAGACTAGTTCGAGATAATAGCTCGAGCATTAACATTTAACTAATTTGATTTTATATTTAATTTATATAATTAATTATTGGCTCGATAAATCATTGATTTTTATTATGTAATCATAAATATCGTAGTTTTATTAAATACTTTATCATCCGAATGAATTTTCATAAAAGTCTTATTATATATATATATATATATATATATATATATATTATATTCATCTTATCACTTGTAAGCATTTATTTATAATTTAAATGATATGTACAATCATTGCATCGACAGATTTTGTACTTAATAAACGAATTGCATATAGATTAATCGTAATGAAATTATAAATAGAATGAACTGAATTTGAATTGTGCTGCTGGATAAAATTACTTTTTCTATAAAATTCTTTACACAATTTTTATAAGAATATCTTAATATCCAATAAGGATGTGAAAAATTTGTTAAGCAAATTGCTTTATTAATTACACATCCATGTAAATGAACGGTACTAATGCATATTTAATATTTTTCTCCGATGAATATGATGACATTTCAATGTTGTAATCGTATCGCCTTTTAAAAATATATACGATTCGAATAAACGAGTCATTTTTATCGATAAAATTTTCCGATATTGTAGCTTAGGATATAGGCAAACGTCACTTTCTTCCTTGACTTATTCTTAAATAAATCATTTATACAATGTCCTGTTAATTTCGATTACTTCGTACAATTAGAACATTTAAGAATTATCGGTTTTCCAAATAACGACATAAATGATAATTACATAATAATAATAATAATAATAATAATATGTGAAAGGTTAAAATAACACGATAAAGTATTATTCGTAACTTTTCGTACAATTTAAATGTTGAGCAAAAACAAAAACAAAACAAAACAAAACACAAAAAAAAACAAAAAAAAAACAAAATAATAAAAAAATAATTTACGAGAGGTATAAATTTAATATTATTGAAGAAAGATGTGATTATGCTTTAAATATTCTTTCTTGTAATGAACTTGCATGAAGCGTGATAATTTGACTTTGTAGTGCAATCCAAGAGTCGTTTCTCTACCGGAATCTTTGAACCCAATAGGCGATTTAGAGACCGTTACGAAGGTTTTCATGAATGAGCAAGTGTACCAACTCTTTGCTTTTTCTCCTGTTTTCGTAAGACTGTCGTCAGTTACCCAAAGCATTCGTCCTTCATGCGGTTAGCTTGACACACGCAATGCCTCAATGACGGATCCAAGCATTATTTTGTATGCGCGTTAAGGATTATCGGGAAATTAATTGTTCAGGCCCCTGACAATTTGTACGTTTAATTTTATTTCTTCTTTACATATTTGAATTTCAGTTGAGCACATTGACCGACATTTGACAATGCACGTAACTTAACTCGTACCTTCTTCTGCTCCTTAAGCCATGACATTTTAAAGAATGAAATTAAACAGACATCGAACTCTTTCGATAAATATGATAAATATGTATGCATTTATCTTTATACAAAGTAGGTTTTTTTATCACTCTTGCTTTAGTCAATGCATTTAGTCAATGCCACGATTAAAATATTAAATAATTTATGTATTGTTGAAGAAGTGCGTGTTTCATGGACTCGTGCTATTCGCTATAATAACGATAAACATATAATATTGAATAAAGAAATAATTAAACATTACTTGATGTTATTTTATAATAGAACGAACGTCTTTTGTGCCGTAAGTACCAACTTTTCTTTTAAATGACAGGAAGTTTCGTAATAAATTAAAGTTATGACGAACGTACAATTAACGTATTGTAATTTATATAGCCTTTTCCTCTTTTCAGCTTGTACTTTAGTCATTGCAATTACAATGTTAGAAATTTTATATAAAAAGCAAAGTAATAATTCAAACAATTATCATTTTCATGTACACTCGAATCATATTCCTTGACTTTTCTTTAATCTCATAGATCGCATAAATACCTTCAATCTAACCATTTTTACAATAATACTTGTATTGAGATAAACGGACATTGATAGTCGAAGCTTTTCACAATATATATATATATATATATATATATATATATAAAACTTAATGCGCGGCTTCCAACACATTTACGTCTCATAGATAATGCCTATTGCTCGGTTCATCGATCAAATGTATCAGTAACCAATGGAATTGAGTGGACCTGCAACTTGTGCCGTATCCTGTAAAATTGTCCTCCCATTAGGCACGAGAACCGCTACCTGCTGCACGTCATTGTGTGCATAATATGCATCTCGATTCTGTGGCATTGGATTCGCTAGCATGCCACTCACACTTCCATACGGAATGCCACCTGTAACGATGTTAACCGAACGATTAATAATCTTGCGATTAGCATATTGGATTGAACAATATTGGTGAAAACAAGAGCAAAAATAAGATAGAAAAAAAAAAAAATGAAAGTGAAATTGTCGGAAGATCATGAGATTGAAAATAGGAACCTATTATTATGTCATATTGTTTCGATCATAAATTTCAAGCTCTTGTAAAAATTTCTTTCTTCGACTATCCATACTTCACTGCCTCGACCAGCTCGATTAAACGAAAAAGTTACAGGAAAATAGTAGTGTACAACAAGAGTGATTCTTTCATACTTCAATAAAATAATACATCTAAGTACTTGAATTGTTGTAAAATGTAATAGAAAATCAATCAAAAATATGAAATATTATGCTCATTAAAATACAATGTATTTTTAATTATTTTTATATTATAATATTATTTCAATAGATAATTCAATACTATACAGTGGCTGACGTTATCTTTTGTTCATTAAAAAAATGAAGCCAATCATGTATTACTTAGTTATATATTTTTTAATTAAGCAATGAAATGTATTTATAGATTATTAGATTAAATATTCAATTACATAAATAGCATAATATTTATAATACTTTTGGTTAGCAGTTGTTAGTCAAAGCAGAAATTAATAGTTTATCTTATTATAATCAATTTATAATCTTCATTTCAGAAACTATGTAAATCTTTTATGCATAATACACAATTATATGTCGATTAAGTACATATTTGCGTTATAATTTATTTTGAGGCATAATTAAATGTTATTATTTTGCAACGTAAAAACATTAATAAAACCAATTCAAATGATTAATTCTTTAAATTCTTCAAATTTTTAAAACTTTCTATTTTTAATAGTAAGAAAAAGACAATAGAATATTTAATGCATCAAAAATATCTAGACGATCTTTTATTTTAAGTAACGTCATAAGGAGATAAAAGAAAACAAAAAAATATTATTATTATTAGTCTATTAAAAATAACAAAATGTCAACAAATCAATATATTTGAATTTAAACTTGGAAATGAATAAAACTATTCTTTATGTTATGGAAGATTTTTTAAATGTTTATAAAAACAACAGATACAAAACAAATTATATATATATATATATATATTTACGTAGAATTTATATTATTTACTTTAATTATAATATTATATTATATAGAATACTTATTCGTGTATCTAAATTAATTTTCGCAGAAACTATACCATAAATACTTCAAATAACAATATCGTGTAATTTATGAAATTTCGTCTTCCAATTGATATTAGTAATTAATTACATTTTTGTTTTCATTTTATTTCCTATTACTTAAATAGACATACAAATTGTCCAAATTGTACTCTATTATTTATATAATTTTAATTCCATACCGAACTTCTATAAAAATAAAATATCCAGCGTTTCTACAAGGTTTAATTATAATAACGATTATTTGAACTAATTTTTGCATTCGATAGAGCAAATATTTTTTAAGGCGTGTATAAATATATTTATTTTACGCGTTCGTTTTAAGCAAATTATGAAAAAGAAATTAAGTGAAAAGTGTGAATAACTAGCAGTACCAATAATAATGGAAAAGGGATGTAAGGTACCAATGTGTGTGTAGTGTATACGCTAAATAGAATTAAATAAAAATATCTCAATTTTTCATTACGTGAACAAAATTCTTAGTACTAATGTCAATTAGATATGGTCTATCGTAATTTCTTATTTTAATAAATTGTTTTTTTTTTTTTTTTTTTTTTTTTTTTTTTTTTAATAATAATAATATAATTTTAAAATGTTGTGATTAATCTAGTAATGAGATATTTGCTATAGTAACGTACATATTTAAAAAGTTTCATGAACGAACATAAAAAGAATAATAATTAAATAATCATTGTAACTGTATGAATTTTTTTAATTAAAATTGCATCAATGTTGTTATTATTATTTTTTTCATTTAACAATTTTTTTTTTTAATTGCGTAATTACGTCTGATACTGGAACATCTTACTTAAGTTGTCGTTATATTACAAATATTTCGGAAATAATGATATTATTTTATGATGCCTTTTGAAATGAATAAATTACAAAAGTAATATAAATTAAAAATTACACGTTTATTTAAAATTCCTTTAAAAAGAATTAAAAGTTAAATTTATGTTATGTATTTTAAATATTTAGTAATAGTTTTCGCATAACAATTTCAATTTTAAATGCAGCATATCCAAGAAGTCGTCGATTGATTATTATTCATCGAAGTTGGTGTACGAATTTAAAAGAATTTTTTTTTTTTTATTTTTTTTTTTTTTTTAATGTACCAAGTTTATAATAAACTCGCTTGAGAAAAGCCTTATATTTGATTAATTTATAATAATTTATTTAATTTATAGGTAGATATAAATTCAGTACGCGTATTAAAATTTTTTTCTGTTTACGCAGCTAGTACAATTAACATTTCTATACATTTTACGAGCTGGCTATGAATATTATATCTTTTATTCAAATTATTGCAACATTTCTTACCATAATTCTCAGCTACGTAAAAGCTATATGTAAAGATCTTTGTCTATTAGTTGTAGTTGAATACTTCTAGTTATTCTGCTGAGTTAGTATGCATTAAAATTTGATGATATGCATTAATATTGATTTGTAATGATGATCGACGACAGTTTTAATCGTTGCAAAAAGCGGCAATTTAAAATCCAAATCTAGAATGCTTTAACGTGAGAGAATCGTGTGAACGATTCTCGTCTACCGACCTGCACACGCGTATTTATTTATAAATGTACAAGAAACAAGAAGCCTCTAAAAAAGTGAAAGGGAGGCCTTCGTTAAACTACACGCTTCATAAGAGTAATGAGATGTCGGATTAAAAGAAAGTTTTTGTCTAGCAGAGCCATCTGTGATCAGATGTAGAAACTATCGAAACTATCTCGGATACCTTAAGAGTTTACAGTATCGACTGATATGCGCTCAAATCGATAGATAATAAATATTATTATTATGAAATTTATAAATTTTCAAGTTTTTTCTTATTTATTGAAAGCGGAAGTATTTACTGCCCATTGCAAACATTTACACTTTGTATATTGATAACAGTTATTAAAATAAAGAGTCTTTCTTATAAAAATTTCAATAAATATTTATTCAAATATATAGTCTTTGTTTCTCAGATAGGTGTTGAAAATGATAGGAATGAAAATTTTTCATTTCAATCACGCCAATATTTCTCATCCGAATCGATCGATATAAGAATATCATTATTTAAATACTTATTGACTTCAATTCAAATGAGGTGGAATGTCATCCTTTTTTTTTCATTTATTGTTAAGCTCTATTCAATTGAATACAAATTTACAAATTATTATCAAATAGCCTTAATTCATTAATAATGGGAATAGATTGTCTTTATATAGTTATCGGTGTGTCAAAATTTAACTTCTTTGCTAAAAATTATCTTCAACCTGAGCCATCGTCTCGACGAAATTAATTTTTCTTTCTTACAATTATTATAATAAACAAATATTTAATGGCAAATTTCTAATGCAAATTTACATTTAACTAATATTGCATACGTAATATATTAAACCATTCACCTTTTAGAAATTTGAATTTTTTGAAAAGAACATTATGTAAAACGATCGAATTAAATGTATTTCAGTATAAAGTGACAGCTAAACCAGTAATAACCGAATAATTGAGAAAACGTGCATTGCCAACGTCTAGCGCTAATCGTGAAGATCAACGCAGTGTCCTCGGAACATACCCGACAGTAAAAAATTTGTATAAAATGGCAGTATAATTTGCATCCTGCCGACAATAAATCCTTGTACACCGTGAGTTCAGTGATTTCGTCGACAGACTTACCGTATGCGAGTCCATTAATCATTTCGACGATTCCCGCGCTGTCCGGTGTGGGCAAAGCGCTCGATGTTTTTAAGACGATGCCGAGATCAATGACAGCGACGATCACCACCGCGGCAATGATCTAAACAACATTTTGTTCATTTGAGCGTAAAACTTTAGGAAGTATAGAAAGTCGGCGGCAGCTGCGGATTCGCACGTCTGACAATTAACGAGATTTTGTTTCCGCTTTCTTTCCCTCCTCACTTCTATCGCTATCAAAATTGTTTTATTTAGAGGACTAACGAAGCGTTTATTCTATTCGTCTCGTTGGTTCAAAGTACAGGAGTTTCGCTTTTAATGTAACATTTATTGCGACCGGCGCTTCGTCACATTCTAATGTACTAGCGATTTATATGTGATTAATATAAAATAATTATAAAATTATCTTACACCAATGTGACTTATTTTTTAATTATCTAAGCAATGCTTACTTTCATCGTGGCTTCGCGTTATCACAATATTTTACATCTCAAAACTTTTTAGCTACACCGAATGACATTCGATTTCGTTTGACTTGTGATGCAGACATTCCTCTTAACGGAGTGCGTTTTATTATACAAAAATTTACTGATTAATGATTATACATTACGAGAGAAAAAAAAAAAAAAAAAAAAAAAAAAAAAAGGAGGACGTGGTGGGGAATAGTGGTACTAGAGCACAAACGTTATCGCACAAATGATTTTTCGAGGCTGCCCGATAATATTTTAATACTAATTTCTACTACTAATCCGGATAATTAATAGATTATTACGATGAACTTTATCTTACGCTCTTTTGGCTTAAACGAACGTGCGAAAGACACGAGAAAACTTTACGTTCCTGAACTTACTGCACACCTTCTCAATAATCATCCGCCATCGTTGTGATCAAACGAAAAGCCGAGATCGCAAACGATTTGTTAAATAATCGTAATAAACGAGAAAAACTCACTCTTGCAGAGGCCATGTTATAGATCCAAGATCGTAGCGCGACTACTGGATAAGAAGCGGCGAACAAGAGGAAAGATCGAATTATATATAGAGTACGGAGCACCGCAAGTGTTGACCAATCGAAGCTCAATGCTTCCTTTCAAGTCCGAGCCCCGTCCACTGTCCGCTATTCATAAAGGATTTTATTAACATAATGGTTAAACGCGTGCGAGGAGGTACCTTGACCTTCATGTCCGCTGTAAGAATGGATCGCCAACAATCTCTCACGTGCACGCATATCGCTCTTCTTTTTCTTAGATCAAGGATACTCACATCGAGTGTAATGCCCTTCTCTGTCGCTTATTCATGCTCTTGTCGACTGTGCCTGCGAACTGTGCCGGTGCTATACTATCTCATTTCTTCATTCGGCGTGTCACATTGTATTATTTATGAAATTAATAACGAACCCAGCAAGTTGGGATAGATTTTTTGGAAGAAGAATCGCGGAGATTGTCGTTTCTAATTTCGCATTGTATGAAATACGTAGGCCTCGATATGCCATTACCTTGAAGTTACTAAATATAATTGTAAAATAGATCAAGGCGATCCTAACCAGACTACCAATACATTAGATTTACAAAGAGAGAGAGAGAGAGAGAGAGAGAGAGAGAGAGAGAGAAAAGAGAAAAGTAGCTATTTTATATGTCAAAGTTTTTATTGTTTATTTCTCATAACTTAACCGTTACAATATTCTATGTTTATTTGCAACGGTATTCTCTATATTTTCAAAACTCTTATTCTATGTAATTTCTTTTCAGTGACTATTTACAAGGATATAAATATACCGATGACTACTGTCGATTTCTCTAATTTATCATAAAAAAATTATTCATCCGCCATTTCCAAACAAAGATGTGTTACATGTATAATAAAATTGCAGATAGTAAAGGAGGCTTTATTATCATCATCATCATCATCATTTATCATTCTTCTTCTTCTTCTTATACTTCTTCTTCTTCTTATTATTATTATTGTTGTTATTGTTATTATTATTGTTATTGTTATTGTTATTACTATCGTTATTATTATTGTTATTATTATTGTTATTATTGCTATTGTTATTATTATTATTGCTATTATTATTATTATCATCATCGTCTTCATATAATTTAATATCATATAATTTAACGCCGTTCGACATAAAAATAACGTCTACTATTAGGATCCTTAATAACATTAACTGGAAGCTTTTCCGTGTCGTTCCTATCCGCTCTATCGTCCTCCACGCTGACATTTTTCTCGCTCTCTTCGCTACTATTGTCGCTCGCATATCTATCATACTTTTTACCTTTGTCTTGGTAATTAATGTTTCGGTTATCATTGTCGTCATCGTCACCGCTCTCGTCATCATCATCATCGTTCTTATCGTCATTGTCTTCAACGTCGTCGTAATCTTCGCTGGAAAAATGACCGGATAAAGGGGTATCGTCCTTTGCCTCGACCTTTGATTCTCGAGTCGCTGATATCGGCAACTTTTGCAGTAGATTTCCTACTACGTAATTCTGAAATTCGGGAGTATATTCGAAATTGTTATTTGTCTGTCGGTAAGTACGACAGTTGTGTCTCGTGTCATTCAAGCTGTTGTTTGTGAAACATGAAATTACTTAATACAAATTAACGTGTATTTTTCATTATGATGCTTCGTGGCAATTTCATGCTTCGGACAATATAATTGTTTGCGATTATTTATGAGAGTGTGTGAAATTGAATATCATTTGATTTATATGTAATCGCGTTTCAAAACTATTGAATATTGACAGAAAAAAATAAAAAAATAGAAAAAAAAAGAAGAAAAAACACACACACACACACACGCGCGCGCGCACACACACACACAC